ATCTTGCAGACCCTGCTCAAGCATCGCTTCTGTGCCACGTCCTGGATGGGAGGGAGGAACTGCCAATAATCTTTTCTGCCGTCCTCACCACTCTCTGCACCGCCTTCCTGTCCGAAGCAGGGATGCTTCCAAACCAGACTGTGATGCCATATGACAGGATGCTCTCGATCGTTTCCCTGTAGAAAGTGGTCAGGACAGGGGAAGGAAGATGTGCTTTTCTCATGGACACAGAAAATGCAGGTGCTGCTGTGCCCGCTTCACCAGTGTCTCACTGTTGAGCGACCAAGCCAGCCTACTCGCTAGCTGCACACCCAGGAATTTGATGCTGGTAACCATCTCCACAGGTGAATCATTAATGCACAGAGAAGTGTGGCTGTGCCTGCCTTTTCTGAAATCGACAATGACTTCTTTGGTTTTTCCGCTATATAACTTGGAGGGGAGAATGAATTCCACTGATGTAATTTAAATAAGACTAGTAAAATAAACCACAACTGAGTGGATTGACCGGTTAATTCCAAACTCGAGCTAGTTCCCATTGATGGGTTCACACTGACCTCCAAAGTCCCTTCCAACTACTCTACTCTACTCTACTCTACTCTACTCTACTCTACTCCACTCCACTCCACTCCACTCCATTCCACTCCACTCCACTCCATTCCCCATTCCATTCCTCATTCCTCTATTCCAGTGGTTCTCAACCTTTTTAATGCCGCGACCCCCAACCGGTTGTAAGTCGAGGACTACTCAACTGGCCATAAGTCGAGGACTACTCAACTGGTGCAGCACTGTTTGCAGAATGGGACTTGGCGGGCTCAGCAGGGCAGAGACAGCCTGGACAATTCCTATTGGCTTTTGAAAGCCAATAGAATTAGACTCTATTCAAGAGAGTCTATTCTATTGGCTTTCAAACGCCAATAGAATAAAAGGGAGTAGCACAGCTAAGGAAAAGGGGGGAAAAATGGCGGACTGCATTGTTTGGCGACCCCTGTGAAATAGTCGTTCGACCCCAAATGGGGTCCCGACCCACAGGTTGAGAACCGCTGCTCTATTCTATTCTATTCTATTCTATTCTATTCTATTCTATTCTAAATAATAAAGTTGGAAGAGACCTTGGAGGTCATCTAGTCCAACCCCCTGCTCAGGCAGGAAACTCTGTGCCATTTCAGAAAATTCTATTCTATTCTATTCTATTCTATTCTATTCTATTCTATTCTATTCCATTCCATTCCATTCCTAGCCCAAGCCCTATTCTATTGCATTTATACTGAGTGCAAATGATGGGAAATGTAGTCCAGCTCATCCACCTCAGATGGAGAAAGTTGGAAAAACGACCTAAGCCTGCAGGAGGAGTTCCTGTTATTTAGCAAGGAGCTGTCCGAACCTCCGCTTGGAACCGGGTTGATTCGCCTCCTCCAAGGTTTTTCGCCCTCCGCGCCCTTTCAGACGTGCGCGAGCCTCTCCTTAGCAACCCACCCGCCAGAACTCGGCGGGAGCTCCGGGCGAAGGCGCAACTGCTGAGGCTTGCGCCAATGAATCCTCGCACCGGGGAGGTGGTGGTGCGGGGAGAGGGGGGGGGTGGAGAGGTTTAACTTCCGTGCAAAGCAGCAAATTTTGGCAAAGGGCTGCAAAAGGAGGCGTGCGCGCTGCCACTCACTCACTCACACACGCGCGCGCGCACACACACACACCCACACACCCGCAGAGAGTGAGCTCAGCCCCGAGCCCAGCCAGGGTCTCTCTCTCTCTCTCTCTCTCTCACACACACACACACACTCACACACACATATATACACACTCACACACACACATGCGCAGTGCGCGGATGCCATATTGGAATAAGGGTGTCGAAGTGGAAGGGGACGGGAGTCGAGCGCGCGGCGGCTCCGCCGTTTGGTCCCCGCCGGAGAGCAAGAAGCGGGGATCGCAACTTGGCGCAGGTAAAGCCCGGCCAACTCGGCTCGCCCGCCACGAAAGCCGATGCCACGGAGGACGCGTAGATCTCGGGGGGGGGGGGAAAGATGCCTGGCTGGCGGGGCTGGGCTTGCTTTCTCTCTCTCTCTCTCTCTCTCTCCTCTCTCTCTCTCTCTCTCTCTCTCTCTCTCTCTCTCTCTCTCCCTCTCTCCCTCCCTCCCTCTCCCTCCCTCTCTCTCCCTCCCTCCCTCCCTCTCTCCCCCCTCTCTCTCTAATCTCTCCCTCCCTCCCTCTCTCTATCTCTCTCTCTCTCTATCTCTCTCTCTCCTCCCTCTCTCTCCCTCCCTCTCTCTCTCTATCTCTCCCTCCCTCCCTCCTCTCTCCCTCCCTCCCTCTCTCTCTCTCTCTCTCCCTCCCTCTCCCTCCCTCCCTCTCTCTCTCTCTCTCTCTCTCTCTCTTCCTCGATTCCCTTTTTGGCAGATTTATTAATAGCCGAGTTCCATTGGAAGGGGGGGGAGATCTGGCGCGCCTCTCCCGGGGCTTCGCCGTCTCAAGTCGGAGCCAAGCGGGGCTCCGGGGTCCGCCTGCCTTCCAGGAGGAGGTGTGGGGCTCGGGGTCCCCCCCCCCCCAAATAGACTGAAGCCGCCTGGCCGGATGCGCAATCAACCAGCCCCCCCCCCCGTTTGCGCAAGAGAAGCGCGGGCGCCCTTCGGCTCCTGCGCAGGGCTCCCTGCGCGGGGGGGGGGCGGGGCGGAAGGGGGGCGGCCCGGTTGTCGAGGGACCCGCAGCCTCCTGTTAGGAAGTGGGTGGCAGCCCTGGGTTAGACCCGATCCAGAGAGGGCGCGTCGGAGTCCACGCCTAAGATCCTGACTCTGGAGACTGCGGGGGACGTTGCGCGGATTTGGCTAGCTGGTTTAGTTCCCGAGAAGGAGGAGAGGCGGCGGGGGTGGGGTGGGGGGGAAGTCTGCAGCCCCTCCTAATCGGAGACGGTATAGGATCGCCTCTGCCGTGCCGCGCATCTCTGGGCTTTAAAATGATAAGAGTTGGAAGGGACCTTGGAGGTCTTCTAGTCCAACCCCCTGCTCAGGCAGGAAACCCTATACCAGTTCAGACGAAGGCTTTGGATGACCCTCTTGTTTTTTCGATAATGTATGTTTGAAGATGCGCTTTTGGGGGGGGGGGGAATCTCTTCCGAGTTGACAGGTGGGATTGACAGCTGATTTCACACACACACCCCAGACCCGCCTCCTTTCCAGGCGTGTTGAATTACAGTCCCCATCCTCCTTGGCTTCCAGGGATGGTGTCAGGAACGCCGGGGAGCAACGGTGCTTGGATGAGGTTTCTTTGAATTGGGGGGGGAATCAATTTGGGAGGAGGCTGTGCCTTGAAAAACGGGGTGTGATGGTGGCTAGAATGATTCGTCCCCACGACGCTCTTTCCCGGGAAAATATAAGCCCCTTGGCTACGTTCGCCCAACGCGCTAGAATCTTCATTAGTTCTTAATTCAAGTTTTAACGTTTGGGGGACTTAGATTCGCGCTCGTTCCTGTGGTTTTGTGAGCGCCTGTGTGGTCAATTCTGCAAGTAGGAGAAACGTGTGAACGCGGCACACACGCGTGCACAAACGCCTCCCCCTCCCCCAACTCGCAGAACTAACTCCAAGAGATCCATCCACTATTTTCATTCATTCTATGCCACGCATGGAAATAGGCTTTATTTCAACATGGCGGGTTCGGAAATGGAAAATAAGCACGTTAAAAGGAGAAGATGGAGAGAGCAGGAACTTCTCTCCGAGTCAATTCAACTTCTGCTGAGTCCCGTGTCGTGGGAAGTCGCAGGTTGCGATCCTAAAACACGTGAAATTTCGCCCTGCTTTCCTAAAGGGGCGGATCCCTCTGATTTCCATCCTGGAACTCGTCCACACGTTCTTGGGGGGGGGCAAAGGGGTAACCGCGCTTCGACGCAAGAGGCAATGTACTCGGCCATAACATATCCTTTCCCCTTGTTCTTAAGCGACTGCAGTTTTTTTTTTTTTTTTCAGAAGAAGCAGCGGGGCCGCGTTCACACGACCTGCTAGACTAGACTGATTTGGAGTGAGCTGAACGTGTTGGGAAAACTTTTGGACTGGCGTGTGGATGTCAATAAAGCTAATTTGTCAAGGCGTTTCTTAGGAGCTGCAGGAATGTGTCTTTTGGTTAAGGCGGGCGTAAACGTCTCGTGTGAACCAGCAATCGGAACAGGACTGAAGCTTTAAATTGGGAGCCTGCCGGCTTTTCTGTTTCAACCATGATCTCTAGCAGACTCCAAGATTTCAACAGTCGCTTCCCGTGTCTAACATCTTAAATATTCTGAAGACTCGAAGTGCATCTTCTCAGTGCAGTGTATACACACGACTGCCCGCTAAACACGTGGGCGGGGTGTCTTCACCCAAGCAACTAGCCTTCGTTCAGAGGTTCATGAGGTCGCGTGAATCCAGGCGAAGTCTCATTGCTTCACAGGATTTGGGTGGGTTTATTAATAAATAAAATGGACCCATTCCGGGCCCTTGTATCTGGGATGAAGTAGTACTTCTTCGACTGGGACTTTACTTTCAAGTAAATCCAGGTTGTAGAAATCCGCCGCCGACGTCTACTAACTCTGAAGGCAAAACAGGGTCGGCTCCGATCACGGTAATATTTGGAGTGAGCACCACGTAGAAATCCCGTAGTTGCAGACCGCATTGAAAGGACGTAAAACACCCCCGGAAAAACGCTTCGATCGCGAAGTCCAGCGAAGGAGACTCTAACGTTGGCTAAAACAGGGGTCTGCAACCTTGACAACTTTATGACTTGTGGACTTCAGCTCCCAGAATTCCTCAGCTGAGGAATTCTGGGAGCTGAAGTCCACAAGTCATAAAGTTGTCAAGGTTGCAGACCCCTGGGCTAGGATACTGCCTTGCCAACGCTAGAACTGCAATTCGGATCAAATCCCGACGGACAAATATCACGGGTCGTTCTTTCTCTTTCTGAAAAGTACATTCCGACGTGTTTGAAAGGGAGGGGCGGGAGGGTCCGGGTCTCCTGCGCGCATCCGTAGAAAAAGGCGACCGCGCGGAGGTGCAAAGAGATCGCTTAATGCCGACAGAATACGGAGGCGAGGTTGGGTGGAGTGGGGGTTTAATTACGGGTCTGTGTTCACACGACACGTCTAACCCGCGTTTCCCGAGTCTGCACAATTAAACCGCCCAGCAGGCTTGGCATATAGGCTGGGAGCTTGCAAAGCCCCCTCGACAAAACAAGCAAGCCAATTCCCACAGGCGAATGAAGATTTCGCGTGTTGGCAACCCGGGTTGTACACGGAGCGATTTTATTCAGACGTGACAGCGAAACAAATGGGGGCGGGCGCGGCGTGATTTGGTTGCGCAATTTCCGCCTCTGCATTCCGGGGAGGGGGGGAGAATCTCCTTCGAGTGGACCCGGTTGGGTCTCCGGTTCCTGCGCACGTCTGAATCCAGGCTTTTCTCGAAGAGGCTGGTTCGGCTTTCTCCCGGGATCGGGCCTGCGGAGAGCGAAGCAAGGCGAGCTTCCCAAGGACGGGAAAAGAACCGGAAAAGCCAGCGGAGGTTTTGAATTGCGCGCGTCCCCGCCAGCTCGTTGCGCAGACAACCCTCCGTTTTGCAAAAGGAGGCGGAAGAGGAGAAGTGGTTGGGAAAAAAAACCAGGAAGGTTTGTGTATGTGTGGGTGTGTGGTCGTTTGGCAAACAAATGCTGGGTGGGGATCTTTCTCAGATTTCAGCTAGCTTAGAGAGAAATTAGCCAGAAAGCTTTGGAGATCTGTATTAGGTTAGTGTGTGAGTGGAGGGGGACACACTGGGCGTTCACAATGTGCGAATCTAGGCTAATATAGCAATAGCCTTTAGACTTATATACCGCTTCGCAGTGCTTGACAGCCCTCTGAAGACTCGAAATATTTAAGATGTTAGACAGTGGTTTACAGAGCCAGTCTGTTGCTCCTCTCAACAATCTGAGTCCTTCTTTTACTGGCTTCGGAAGGATGGAAGGCTGAGTCAACCTTGAGCTGGTGAGAATCCAACTCCTGGCGGTGGGCAGAGTTTGCCGGCAATGCTGCATTCTAGCCACTGAGCTCCAGGAATAGATAGATAGATAGATAGATAGATAGATAGATAGATAGATAGATAGATAGATAGATAGATAGATAGATAGATAGATAGATAGATAGATAGATAGATAGGCAGGCAGGCAGGCAGGCAGGCAGGCAGGCAGGCAGGCAGGCAGGCAGGCAGGCAGGCAGGCAGACAGGAAAGGATAGATGATAGATAGATAGATAGATAGAGAGAGAGAGAGAGAGAGAGAGAGAGAGAGAGAGAGAGAGAGAGAGAGAGAGAGAGAGAGAGAGAGAGAGAGAGAGACAGGGAGGAAAGGATAGATTAGATTAGATTAGATTAGATTAGATCAGTGGTTCTCAACCTTGACAATTTTAAGGCATGTGGACTTCAACTCCCAGAATTCCACAGCCAGCAATGCTGGCTGTGGAATTCTGGGAGTTGAAGTCCACATGCCTTAAAATTGTCAAGGTTGAGAAACACTGGATTAGATAGAGCAATAGCACATAGATTTATATACCGCTTCATAGTGCCTTTACTCTAAGCAGTTTACAAAGTCAGCCTATTGCCTCCAACCATCTGGGACCTCATTTTACCGATCTTGGAAGGATGGCAGACTGAGTTCACCTTCAGCCGGTCAAGATCGAACTCCTGGCTGTGGGCAGAGTCAGCCTGCAATACTGCATTCTAAACACTGCACCACCAGGGTCCTTCCTTCCTTCCTTCCTTCCTTGCTAACCTCCCTCTTTCCCTCCCTCTCTGTCCCCTCCCTCCCTCCCTTCCTTCCTTCCTCCCTCCCTCCCTGCCTCCCTCCCTCCCTCCCTTCCTTCCTTCCTTCCTTCCTCCCTCCCTCCCTCCCTCCTTCCCTCCTTCCCTCCCTCCCTCAGGACTTAGCAATAACACTTAGACTTACTATACCAGTGGTGGCGAACCTATGGCACGGGTGCCAGAGGCGGCACTCAGAGCCCTCTCTGTGGGCACGTGCACTGTCGCCCCAGTCCTCAGCCTTCAGCTGAGTTTTATAAAACCTTTTTGCTTTAGGCCTCTGCCGCCATGTGCAAAAAAAAAAAAAAAAGTTCAGTCAATGAGTCAATTTCAACTTTTCGAGGGAAAAAAAAAGATCTTGCAAAGTTGGAATTGATTGATTGAACTTTTTAGTCCCACCCAGTCTGCCGTTACCACCACAGCCACTCCCACCCAATGGGCCACACCCACCCAATGGGCCACACCCACCCAGCACCCGACAATGCATAAGTGGGTTTGGGGTTGCAGTTTGGGCACTCGGTCTCTAAAAGGTTCGCCATCACTGAACTATATATACCACTTCACAGTGCCTTACAACCCTCTCGAAGTGGTTTACACAGTCAGCCAGTTTCCTCCCTGAATCAGCCAGTCACATGATCAAAATTCAGACACTTAGCAACTGGTTCACATTTATGACGGTCGCAGTGTCCCGGGGTCATGTGATCCCCTTTTGCGACATTCAGACAAGCAAAGTCAACGGGGGGAAGTCAGATTCCCTTAATAACCAGGTTACTAAATGAACAACTGCAGTGATTTCACTTAATTATGGGAAGAAAAGTTGTAAAACGGAGCAAAATTCACCGAACAACTATCTCACAAAGCAAACAGAGATTTTCCGCTCAATTGTGGCCGTACGTCAAGGACTATCTGTAAACCCACTTAGCCCACCCACCTTGCTTTTAAATTTTAACTTAATTCCAAGATTTCTAGACATCGTTGTTGTTGTTGTTGTTTTGCAAGACTTTATGCAAGTTCATGCTTTAAATCAGGGAGGGCAACTTTCCAACCTGTGGACTTCAACTCCCAGAATTCTGGGAATTGAAATCCACATATCTTGAAATTGAGCCAGCCGTAATTGCCCACCCCAGATCTAGCTGCTACCTAATCTGCCTTGCTAAAAAAAAATTGTTGTCCTTGATTTACAACCAAAATTTCTGTCGTTAAGTGAGACCGTTGTTAAGTGAAGGTTGACCCATTTTTACGACTTTTCTCACCACGGCTGTGAAGTGAATCACTGCAATTGATGTTAGTAACTCGTCTGTTGAATCATTCTGGCTTCCCCTGGTGACTCGGCTTGTCTGACCTTGAGACACAGCCACCGTCATAGATGCGAAACAGTTGAAATTTTGATCACATGATCGTGGGGATGCTACAAAGGTCCTAACTCTGAAAAACGGGTGGTGATGATGATGATGATGGCTGGGGAATTCTGGGAGATGAAGTCTACACAGGTTTAAGTTGCCAGAGTTGAAGAACATTGATTTAGGTTAGGGCAGTGGTTCTCAACCTGTGGGTCGGGACCCCATTTGGGGTCGAACGACCATTTCACGGGGGTCGCCAAACAACGCAGTCCGCCATTTTTTTTTCCCTTTCCTTAGCTGTGCTACTCCCTTTTATTCTATTGGCTTTTGAAAGCCAATAGAATAGACTCTTGAATTGAGTCTAATTCCATTGGCTTTCAAAAGCCAGTAGGAATTGTCCAGGCTGTCTCTGCCCTGCTGAGCCCGCCAAAAGTCCCAGTCTGCAAACGATGCTGCACCAGTTGAATAGTCCTTGACTTACGACCGGTTGAGTAGTCCTCGACTTATGACCGGTTGGGGGGTCGCGGCATTAAAAAGGTTGAGAACCACTGGGTTAGGGTATCCAGTCCAAAAGTTCCCAAGTTTTGGATCCCTGAAGGAAAGAACAAAGGGAAAAAGATTTTACAATGGGAAACGTTTCTTTAAAGGCTCTCATCTTTATTTCTATAGGAATGTCGTGCCCTGGAATGAACAACAAAACCACTTTGGCCTGAGTGATGGAGAGGGGGAAGTGTCTGATCCTTGAGATGGAAGATTCTCATCACCTTCCTTTGGAAAAGCATCCCAGTCCAGCTAAGGGCAACACGGAACCTTTTCATTCAGGTGCTTTTTTTAAAAAAAAAAAATTCCTTATCAACATTGCAACGGGTTGACATCTTGACTACTGCAAGGTGATCTACGTGGGGCTGTCCTTGAAAACTATCCGGAAGCTTCAATCGATTTAAAATGCGGCAACCCACCGGGTTTGGTGCAAGGCTAGATTTACACATGGGGTCACCTCTCTTGCAAGAAGAAGCTGCAATGGCTGCCAATTTGCTTCTGGGTTGGAGTCAAGGTGCTAGTTCCCACATTTAAAGCCCTACGCCAGCGGTCCCCAAGCGTCCCGGCTTGGCAAACCGATAGAGGGGAGAGGGGATGATTCCGTGTGACTGGCAGGTGTGCACATGAGCGCATGTAAATGGAGCTGCAAGCCACATGCCACTCACGCAAGTGGAGCTGCGTTCATGCTCTAGCTTGCCCACGGCTTGCATGGCTCGGTTCCAACTGGGGTGCAGCCGGGGGGTTGGGGACCCCTTCCTACAGGGCCTAAGGCCTGGTTATTCGGAGGATCATTTTTTTCCCAATTAAATCTACCTGATCTATCAGAATGAGGAGGAAGGAGATGTCCATCTGGTGGGACCAACAAGAATGGAATAGAATAGAATAGAATAGAATAGAATAGAATAGAATAGAATAGAATAGAATAGAATAGAATAGAATAGAATAGAATAGAATAGAATAGAATAGAATAGAATAGAATAGAATAGAAAATATGGAATGGAATGGAATGGAATGGAGTAGAATAGAATAGAACAGAACAGAACAGAACAGAACAGAACAGAACAAAACAAAATAGAATAGAATAGAATAGAATAGAATAGAATAGAATAGAATAGAATAGAATAGAATAGAATAGAAAATATGGAATGGAATAGAACAGAACAGAATAGAATAGAATAGAAAATATGGAATGGAATAGAATGGAATGGAATGGAATGGAATAGAATGGAATGGAATGGAATAGAAAATGGAATAGAATAGAATAGAATAACAGAGTTGGAAGGGGTCTTGGAGGTCATCTAGTCCAACCCCCTGCTCAGGCAGGAGCCCTATACCATTTCAAACAAAGGGTTGTCCAGTCTCTTCTTAAAAACCTGTGTTGGAGCACGCACAACTTCTGGTGGCAAATTGTTCCACAGGCTAATTGTTCTAACTGTCAGGAAATTTCTTCTTAGTTCTAAGTTGCTTCTCTCCTTGATTAGTTTCCATTATTAGGGTGTGGGAATCTAATTATTTTGGGCTGAGATTTACAGCATGACAAGAAATACTTGCTAGGTAATTTGGCAGTTCTGGAATAGGCAACAGAGCCGAGAACAAGGAAGTGAGAAGCGGTTTTTATTCCATCCTGGAACTCTGCATCTTTTTTTTAAAAAAAAAAAACAACCAACATCTCCACACTGTCTTTGAGAAAGGGACAGCATGAAACTCCATCTTTGTCTGTTTATATACCTTTATCCAGTTGGAAGTGGACATGGTTGTTCAACTGTCGCTTGAAACGTGCCGTTATAAACACTTACCTGTTTTCAAACGGTGCTTTTCTAATTCTATAAAATAATAAGAGGTACTGCAGGGGTTCTTGTAGCAGCTTTTATAAACCTGTCTGGGGAAGTTGTTGCTTCGGGCACTTTGTCTCCACCACCTTTGTTCATCTTTGAGGAGCTGTGATGATCAATGTTTTCCTGCAGTGCACAAGTAGCATGGATTTTAAAGGCTTAGCAAAGGATGTTGCAACAAAGCTGAGTTGCTTTTGTGTTTCCAAAGATGAAGAGAGAAGGGAGAAAGCATTTGGTTAGTTCTTCTGTTTTCAGATCTTTTAGTTTATCCAAACTTTTCTTGGATGAGATGCAGAGCTGAAGAAGAAGGGGAAAAAAAGACCAGTTACAGGTGATATTGGATGCTCATCTGCACCTAATATGCAGTTTCTCAACACTGCCAACTTTAAGATGTGTGGACTTCAACTCCCAGAATCCCCCAGCCAGCATGGTTGGCTGGGGAATTCTGGAAGTTGAAGTCCACACATCTTAAAGTTGCTAACGTTGAGTAACACAGGTGTCGATATTGCCTGTGTTGGCAAGGGCTTCAGATCTGCTCATCCAGATCTAATAATTTATTACTACTGTCGCACTGCACAGCAGATATAAATACCTACAAGTGTGGCATTTCGGGGGCCTAAATTCTTGTCAGCGTTTAATAGCGATACAAACCTATTTTTCTTCTTTATCTGTAAAGGTTTCAGTTTAAACATTGTAGTGCTGATAATCTTCAGTCGTACTTGTATAAGTAGCAATAGCGATAATAGACTTATATACCGCTTACATAGTGCTTTACAGCCCTCTCTAAGTGGTTTACAGAGTCAGCCTATTTGCCCCCAACAATCTGGGTCCTCATTTTACCGACCTCGGAAGGATGAAAGGCTGAGTCAACCTTGAGCTGGTCAGGATTGAACTCCTGGCAGTGGGCAGAGTTTGCCTGCAAAACCCCATTCTAACCACTGCACCATCATGGCTCCTTCCTTCCTTCCTTCCTTCCTTCCTTCCTTCCTTCCTTCCTTCCTTCCTTCCTTCCTTCCTTCCTTCCTTCCTCCCTCCCTCCCTCCCTTCCTTCCTTCCCTCCCTCCCTCCCTCCTTTCATTCCCACATTCCTTCCTTCCCTTCCTCCCTCCCTCTCATTCCCATCTCCTTCCTTCCCTCCCTCCTTCCTCTCATTCCCATCTTCCTTCCTTCCTTCCTTCCTTCCTTCCTTCCTTCCTTCCTTCCTTCCTTCCTTCCTTCCTTCCTTCCTTCCTTCCCAATAGACTTATGTATTGCTTCATAGTGCTTTACAGCCCTCTCTAAGCAGTTTACAGAGTCAGCCCGTTGCCCCCAACAATCTGGGTCCTCATTTTACTGACCTTGGAAGGACGGAAGGCTGAGTCACTCTTGAGCCCCGTCAGGATCGAACTCCTGGCAGTGGGCAGATTTTGCCAGCAATAGTGCCTTTTAACCATTGCACCACCAGGGCTCCTAAGTCCTAATTCCTGAGTACCACTCCTTTTCCCACAAGGATTTCATTACTTGGCAGCAGTCTTGAGTCACAATTCAACCGGTCATAAAACAGGGCAATATTTAACAACTCAGCTGTCTTGCTTAGGAGCAGAAGTTTTGGGTTCATGGTCGTAAGTTGAATTGTAAGTTGAAACATGGTAGTCTTGCTTTTTTTGCTAAGTCCTATTATCCTCATCATTATTGTTTAAAGTAGAGGACAGCTGCAACTTTGAAGATTTCAACTGGGACGAATACCTGGAAGAATCAGAATCTACTGCAGCTCCACATTCTTTATTTAAGCACGTATGTACATTGCCAGGACGGTAAGGTTTCTACTCCTCATTGAGAATTTAGACACGGGGGGGGGGGGTGTTCCAATGTCTGACAAACAGCTCAATCCTGTTTGACTTAAAAGAAATTCCTGTTCAATTCAGGAATCCGTGAGCCCACCTGATGTGGACTACAACTCCCATTATCTCTGATCATTGGCTGCTGGCTCATTTGAAACCGTACAGCGTTTCTAATCTTAATTTAAATGAGCAGGAAATGGGGAAAAAAGCAGGGGAACTCCGCTAAGGACGTAGGGGGGAAAAAAAGCTTAAATGAGCTGGGGAGAAGCCCGTTTTTCTGCAATTGCTCAACTGCGAAATTAAAGCATTTACAAAGATTTAGAAAGATTTTTTTTAAAAAAGCAGCACATATTCAAGTCTGCAAATTAGCGGGAAATGTTTTGCAAAGTTTAGCCTGGGAATCCTTAGGTCGGCCAAACCGACAGTTGAAAGGCATCCAGCTGGCATCCTGGAGAATTGATGGTGGTGATGCTAAATCTCGAACCTCTGTAATAAAACAGGGCAACATATTTGAACGATAACGAGACCTTACTAATAGAAAGAAAAAGGAAGACTCGTGGAGTATTTTTGAAGAATAAAAAATTGGGTACAGCTTTGGTTTTTGTGGCCCTGACAAGCCTTCGTATGTTTTTTTTTTAAAAGGTTTATAAATGCATTTTCTATTATTGATTACAGTGAAATTTGAGAATTTGATGAGAACGATACAGCCGTGGTAATTCAGTAAAGGGAACACAGTGTTGACTAGAATGAGCTAATTATTTTGCATTTGTGACGAGGGAAAGAAAGAAAAAAAGAAAGCAACAACAGAAATTACACTCATAGCAGTGTCCCCTCTATGCGTGTCTGTGTGTGGTTTGAATAAAGGGTGACTATTTCATTGTAATCATCCTTACATAATCTACATCTGTGCAGTAGTCCTCTACTTACGACCCCAAAATTTCCATTGCTAAGACAAGACAGTGATCGAGGGAGTTTTGCTCTGTTTTACGTTTCTTGCTACAGTTGCACAACTGCAGTTAGCAACCGTGTTACTTAACAACGGCAGTGATTTTCAGTTGTGGCACAACTGCAACAACTTCACATCACAGCAGTCGTTGCTAGTAACACGGTCGCTAAATAAATCTGGCTTCCGAGTTACAACAGGACAGGGGGAAAAAAATGACATTTTTTCACAAAAACTGGCTCTGTGTTTATGACGGAGCCACAGTGTCCCGGGATCATGTGATCCCCTTTTGCAAGTTTCTGACCAGTAAAGTCAACGGGGAAGCCAGTGTCACTTGACAACTGTGTTAAGTCATTCCGCAACCTGCAGTGTGATTCACTGAACAACCGGGGTGAAAAAGGTGGTTAAAATGGGGCAAAACTCCCTTAAAAACTTGTCTCGCTTAACGACGGAAATTTTGGGCTCTGTTGCGATTCATTCCTTCGTGGCGCAGAACCGAGGAGTGATCACCTGATGTCCTCCTTTCCCTTTCTGTTCTGCTGCTGTAGTATCCATTAAAGCTAATGCTGGCTGGAGAATTCTGGGAGTTGACATCCAGCCGGAGATTTGGGGCTCGGTTGTGACTGTAAGTTAAGGATTTACCTGTATAAAGAAAGAAGGTTAATGAGAGTGTGAGAGTTCAGACTATATAGACCAGTGGTTCTCAACCTTTTTAATGCCGCGACCCCCAACCGGTCGTAAGTCGAGGACTACTCAACCGGTCGTAAGTCGAGGACTACTCAACTGGTGCAGCACCGTTTGCAGAATGGGACTTTTGGCGGGCTCAGCAGGGCAGAGACAGCCTGGACAATTCCTATTGGCTTTCAAAACCCAATAGAATAAAAGGGAGTAGCACAGCTAAGGAAAAGGAGGGGGGGGAAATGGCGGACTGCGTTGTTTGGCGACCCCCGTGAAATGGTCGTTCGACCCCAAATGGGGTCCCGACCCACAGGTTGAGAACCACTGATATAGGCGATTTGATTGACAACCATTGTGGAGCCTGCTCATTACCCTCGTAAGTCGTGACGGCCCGATCACGTGACCAACTCGATTTTATGGTTTTCATTTGCGGTGGTCATTAGTGTTATGCCCCTATGACACCAGTAAGGTTAGCGAAAATATTTAAAAATACTTCAAATAATTGCTGGAAATGTAAACAAAGGCCAGGTACTTACTATCGTATCTGGTGGACATGCCTTAAAGCGAAAAAGGTTTTGGGGTGAGATAGATACATGGAAAAAAATGATTAAAAGAAAGATAGAATTTAAACCAGAACTGGTTTTTTTAGGAATATTAGGACCTAACTATGAGAAGGAGAACGAATATTTAATATTGCATATACTGACAGCAGCGAGAATAGTATTTGCCCAATATTGGAATACCATCTGTATTGCCCTGCAACTAGCTTACTTGATCAAATTGTCTTAATCCGGATTACAGATTGTGACTCTCCCCATCCCTTCGCTGCCTCCCCCCTCCAAATGACATTACCTCTGGGTCTCCTTTCCCAAGGTGGAAATCAGCCTCCAGAGCAGCTTACAGCCTGGCATGAAACTGGAGGTGGCCAACAAGCACAACGTGGACACTTATTGGGTGGCCACCACCATCGCCACGTGTGGCCAGCTGCTGCTGCTGCGCTATTGTGGTTACGAAGATGACCGCCGAGCTGATTTCTGGTGTGACGTGATGACGGCGGACCTCCACCCGGTGGGCTGGTGCACGCAGAACGGGAAAGTGTTGATGCCGCCCGACGGTGAGTCAGAATTAATTTGTTAAGTTTCTAGTCCTGGTGATGAAGAGATTTGGAATTCTGGGTATTGTAGCCAGACATATCTAGAATCTATTGACTTTTTAAGTTTTTAAAAGTCAGATTTCTCACTGTTCTATCTGGGCAATATAAAAGTACCTCTTTTCTAACTTATTCCACTCGCTTCCGTCTTTTATTTTGTTTTCTCCCCTTACGTTTCACCAGACTTGCATCTCCCATTTCAAGCATGTGGTTTTACCCCGTAATATCAAAGTGTGGACCAGCCTCAGTTTCCCTTTTGAAATGTTCAGCAATCCGTCTGGGCCTTTTTAAAATTCCATTTTTATTTTACTTTCTTTGAGAAATGCTTCTGGTTTCCCTAGCAACCTCCAAATAGCCTGTGGGCAAAGCAAAGAATAGCAAGAAAATGTACAATTCAGGAAGCAAGAAGCAAGCTAGTGGCCCATAACTATTTCTAAATAATATTTTGAGTGCATTGAAATGCCGAATGGAAATTTATGGAAGATTTAATGAATACCAATGTTGTGCTAACACAGGGTTTTTTTTTTCCTTTGGCACACAAGTTAGTCATAAAAGAAACAGCTAAGAGGGTTTGTTTACAGGCTTAAATGCAGCTAATTTTATCAACTTCTCCAAGCAACCTTGAGACTTGGCGTGGGGGCCTTTGGGCTGTTTGTGTGTGTGTGTGTGTGTTGCATTTTGAGCTGAATCCCTTTATTTTCTACAGCCTCTGTTAGAGTTAAACTACTGAGAGCTGTGTTTGGCTTGTGTAATTTGATGAAAATTGTCTGTTTCTCCTCCATCCCCTGGTGAACAGAGAGAGATTTATTTTGCAATAAATCTGGGTTAAGGAAACCAGTTGGATCCTTTTGGAAGAAGCTGGAATCACAGGGCTATTTTGAGACAGCAACTAGGAAGGATAATTGCAAGAAAGGAAGGGAGGGAGAGAAGGAAGGAAGGAAGGAAGGAAGGAAGGAAGGAAGGAAGGAAGGAAGGAAGGAAGGAAGGAAGGATTAGAAGGAAGGCAGGGAAGCGAAGGGACGAAGAAAGGGAGAGAAGGAGGAAGGGATTAGAGGAAAGACAGGAAAGGGAAGGCATGAAGAAAGAAAGGGAGGGAGGGATTAGAAGGAGGGAAGGGAAGAAGGAAGGAAGGAAGGAAGGAAGGAAGGAAGGGTGGAAGGGAGGAAGGAAGGAAAGGCTTAGCATAATACAGTATAAGAGAAACTTGACTTTAGCAGTAGTATTCCTGAAAAGGAAGGCGCTGGGTGTCCTGGTACATCATAATTAAATTTAATTTCATTACATCACAATGAAAATTAATCACGAGTCACCACGATAGTATCGATCAAAATGCAAATGCTATTTGTGAATATAATATTGTGAGAAACCATTGCCCCGAATCTGTTTAGGAAGCGACGGGCCCCAAATCAAGAAGGAACACAGGTTGCGATTCTTCCAAGCTCAATTCTTTACGGTTTCACACCTCCAGGCAAACTCTTGCCCAACTGAAAGGCTCCACTATTCTCTGCATCTACAACATACTCTGGGAACGATTGGGGAGAGGCGGTCCTCGCCCTCTTTCTCTCACACACGCAACGCCTGGGTTGTGTTGCCTCTTCCTTCTCCAGGATGCATCCTCTTCCCTACGTTCAGCTACACAAAGAAAGAGGTTATTATGTCCTTCAAGTAATTGCGTCTTCCTGTTCTGTTTTCAAGCTATCAAAGAGAAATACTCGGACTGGACGGAGTTCCTCATACGTGATTTGACGGGCTCACGAACGGTGCCTGCAAAATTACTAGAAGGCGTAGGTATTGGCTAATTTCTCTTCTCATCTCCTGCTATGTTTGCGGCATTTTTTTTAAAATTTATTGATTATTCAATTTATTGGCCGCCTATCTTACTATAATTAATGCCTAATAGGAATAAAATGAGGGGGCAAATGGGATGGCATGTGTAGCATGGAGGATGGAGGAAAAATGATTTGCTAGAGGGAAATTTTGGTGATTTTCTAAGTATTTTGCTAAGAGATGTTCCATGGCGTTTAAAAGAAGGAGTTTTGCTTCTGTTCAAACAGCCTCTGCGAGGGAAAAACGCTGTAGACCTCATTACGGTGGATTCCTTAATAGAGCTGCAGGACGACCAGAGTCCCTTTCAGTTCTGGATAGTGAGCGTGGTGGAGAATGTCGGCGGAAGATTGCGCCTTCGCTATGCGGGATTGGAGGAAATGGAGACTTATGATCAGTGGCTGTTTTACTTGGATTGTAGACTTCGACCGGTGGGCTGGTGTCAGGAGAATAAATACCAGCTAGAACCACCTGCAGGTACTAGAAAGTACTATCCATTCACCTATCATCTACCCATGTATCTATCCATCCATCCATCCATCCATTCATCCATCCATCTAACCAACCAACCATCCATCCATCTATACATAAATCCATCCATGCATTAATCAGTCCATCCATCCATCCATCCATCCATCCATCCATCCATCCATCCATCCACTTATGTATAAATTCATCTATCCATCCATCCATCCACCCATCCATCTAACCAATATGCATTCATGATTCCATACATGCATAAATCTATCCATTTATCCATCCTTCCATCTAATCACCCATCCATTTATCCATCCATGCACCCCTACATCTATATACCCAATCTTCCATCCACCTCCATCTAACTAACATCCCATCCATCCATCCATCCATCCATCAATCCATCTAGCCAATCAACCATCTATCCACACATCCACCTATCTTGCATGCACCCTTCTATCCACCCATCCATCCACCCTCCCATCCATCTGTCTAACCAACCTTCCTTCCTTCCTTCCTTCCTTCCTTCCTTCCTTCCTTCCTTCCTTCCTTCCTTCCTTCCTTCCTTTCTTTCTTTCTTTTTTTCTTTCTTTCTTCTTTCCTTCCATCTAACCAACCAACCAACCAACCACATATCCATCTCTTGCATCCATCTACCCACCCTCCATCAGTCTAACTAACCTACCTATCTTCTTTCCTTCCTTCCTTCCTTCCTTCCTTCCTTCCTTCCTTCCTTCCTTCCTTCCTTCCTTCCTTTCTTTCTTTCTTTTTTTCTTTCTTTCTTCTTTCCTTCCATCTAACCAACCAACCAACCAACCACATATCCATCTCTTGCATCCATCTACCCACCCTCCATCAGTCTAACCTACCTATCTTCTTTCCTTCCTTCCTTCCTTCCTTCCTTCCTTCCTTCCTTCCTTCCTTCCTTCCTTCCTTCCTTCCTTCCTTCCTTCCTTCCTTCCTTCCTTCCTTCTAACCAACCATTCATCTATCTATCCACACATCCATCAATTTTGCATCCACCCATCCATCTATCCACTCACCCCTGTCCGTCCATCCATCCATCCATCCATCCATCCATCCAAGGTGTTAATGTCATTTGGATCATCATGAGAAAAACTAAATGAGGTCAGAAGTGAGTGGAGGCCAAGGCAATCTCAGGCTGAGTGGATGCTAGATTGGAAATGCAAAAGCACAAGCAGAAAAACAGAACAAAATCCACTCCACCCTAGAAAAAAAGGCTACTGTTGCAAAGAAAACAAACTTGATGTGTCTCAAAGTCAACAGAAGCCAACGTAGCTCAAAGGAATCATCATTTAAAGCAGGGGTCTTCAAACTTGGCCCTTTTATGACTTGTGGACTTCAAGTCCCAGAATTCCTTAAGCCTGGCTGAGGAATTCTGGGACTTGAAGTCCACAAGTCATAAAAGGGCCAACTTTGAAGATCCCTGTCTTAAATCTAACAAACAAAATGGAGGCTGGCTGAGGAATTCTGGGACTTGAAGTCCACAAGTCATCAAAGGGCCAAGTCTGAAGATCCCTGTCTTAAATCTAACAAACAAAATGGAGGCTGACTGAGGACTTCTGGGAGTTGGAGTCCACAAGTCATAAAAGGGCCAGGTCTGAAGACCCCTGATTTATGGCAAAAACATCTGCATGTCCTTGGCTCACCTTGAAAAGCTAAGCTGGATTAAACAGTGGGATGTGCGGAGGGGTCATCAGCGCCACCCTAAGGCTATGATTTTCCTGGAAGAAACAGATGAATGTCTTGGTGTGACCATCGATCTTCTTTTGCATCTTAATAAAGTCTTCTTTAAAAAAAAATAAAACAAAGAGACAAACTTGATTCAAGGGAGCTTTCACTTTCCCTAATCTTATTTTAGACAGCTGCCTCCTGTCTACAATATGGATCTTAAAATGCGGTGACTTTGCTTTGCCAAGTTTCCTTCTCCCTGTTTTTGACATCAGGCTGGCTGGCTGGGGAATTCTGGGAGTTGAAGTCCACCCTTTTTAAAATCTGAGAAACACTGCTGTGAAACCAATCAGATTATAGCTGCAGCTGAGGGGTCCCCGGGTTTTCCTCACCGAAGGAACTTTATTGGAGCTGCTGCAAAAAAGCCAACATGATTCAAATTGCCCGTAGGGCAAAGTGCCAGGCGTCGGAGCTTTTTGTCTTCATTAACAATTAAATTGACCTCTTTCTCTAGTACAGAGATAAACAGGCTTCCTCAAATCAAATGACCCCTTCACTTTTCCCTCATGGTCCTTTTCTGGACGTGGCTCGGAGGAGTGATGGCATCAACGGAGTGAAAGAGAACTGGCTAGGGCAGGGGTAGGCAACCTTGGCTCTTTTATGACTCATAGACTTCAACTCCCAGAATTCCTGAGCCAGCATGGCTCAGTATGGAAACCTCTCCATTTCTCCTCAGCTTGGCTGGCTCAGGAATTCTGGGAGTTGAAGTCCACCAGTCATAAAAGAGCCAAGGTTGCCTACCCCTGTCCTAAGCCCTCCTGTTCCAAGCAGTGAGCCTCCTAGTCCAGGGGTAGGCAACCTTGGCTCTTTTCTGACTCGTGGACTTCAACTCCCAGAATTCCTGAGCCAGCATGAGGGAACTATGGGCCCTCATGACTCGTGGACTTCAACTCCCAGAATTCCTGAGCCAGCATGGTTCAGCTTGGAAACCTCCCCCTCAGCACGGCTGGCTCAGGAATTCTGGGAGTTGAAGTCTATGAGTCATAAAAGAGCCAATATTGCCTACCTCTGGCCTAGGCCTAGGCCGCTGTCTGACTCATGGACTTCAACTCCCAGAATTCCTGAGCCAGCATGAGGGAACTATGGCCCCTCGTGACTCGTGGACTTCAACTCCCAGAATTCCTGAGCCAGCATGGCTCAGCTTGGAAACCTCTCCCTTTCCCCTCAGCATGGTTGGCTCAGGAATTCTGGGAGTTGAAGTCCATGAGTCATAAAAGGGCCAAGGTTGCCCACCCCTTGTATGGGGGGGGGGAACAATATCTAAGTTCACTTTTCTCTGTGAAAAGAGTTAGTTTTGCTTAAAATGCTACAGGGAACCCCCTAATTTAAAGTCCACAAACTTTTTTCAGTTCAAAGGAAACTTTATAGGCCAGATATTTATGAAAAGTGCAAATATAAAGGTTTATTACAGGTAGTCTTCGATTTACAATAGCTCATTTAGTGACCAATCAGAGTTACATCAGCACTGAAAAAAAGTGACTTATGACCATTTTTCACACTTACCACCATTGCAGCATCCCCAGGGTCACGGGATCAAAATTCAGACACTCCTATTGTGTGTCCCGGGGATCACGTGATCCCCTTTTGCGACCTTCTGACAAGCAAAGTCCATGGGGAAACCGGATCCACTTAACAAGTGTATCCCTAACTTAACAACCGCAGTGGTTCATTTAACAACGGTGGCAGGAAAGGTTGTAAAATGGGGCAAACCTCGCTTAACAAATGTCTCAGTTAGCAACAGATATTTTGGGCTCCGCCGTGGTCGTAAGTCGAGGACCGCCTGTTATCAGCCTGCGGGATGGTTGAATGTGTGCCACTGGCTTAATCGGTTGCGGGATTTTCCGTGTTTTTCTCTGCAGAAATCTCTTCTCTGAAGACGACGTCTGAATGGCGGACAGCCCTCACCACAGCTCTGACCGAGGCAGAGAAACATTCCCTTCCCATGGAAGTCTTTAAGGTAAACCTTAATAAACCCTGATTTCTTTGTAATAAACCATTGTTTCTTCTTTGAGCCATTTAAATGGCTGCCCTGCCATCCTCTTTTGCTTTTCAGATTTGAATCTAGCGAGGGAGAATTTAGCATCGGGAATGGTAGATATTCCTTTTTTACGTTTTCTTTTCTTCTCTCTCTGTCTTCCTCCCTCCCTTCCTCTCTTTCGTTCATTCCCTCCCTCTCTCTGTCTCTCCCTTTCTCCCACGCACTTTCTCCCTCCCTCTCTCATTCTTTCCCTCCCTCTCTCTGTCTCTCCCACCCACTTTCTCCCTCTCTCTCTATCTCTCCCTCCTTCCTCCTTTCTCCCTCCCTTCTGCTCTCTCGCTTTTTTCCTCCTCCCTCCCTCTCTCTCACTCACTCTTTTCCTCCCTCCCTCTCTCTCCCTCCCTCCCCTCACTCTTCCTCCCTCTCCCTCTCTCTCCCTCCCTCCCTCTCTCTGTCTCTCCCTCTCTCCCACCCACTTTCTCCCTCCCTCTCTCACTCTTTCCCTCCCTCTCTCTCTCTCTCGCCCACCCACTTTCTCCCTCCCTCTCTCTCTCCCTCCTTCCTCCTTTCTCCCTCCCTTCCGCTCTCTTGCTCTTTCCCTCCTTCTCCCTCCCTCTCTCTCCCTCCCTCCCCTCACCCTTTTCCTCCCTCTCTCTCCCTCCCTCCCTCTCTCTGTCTCTCCCTCTATCCCACCCACTTTCTCCCTCCCTCTCTCTGTCTCCCTCTCTCGCTTTCCCTCCCTCTCTTTCTCACTCTTTCCTTCCCTACATCTCTCTCCCTCCCTCCCTCCCTCTCCCTCCCTCTTTCTCACTCTTTCCCTCCCTCCCTCCCTCTACCCCTCCCTCTCTCCCTCCCACTCTTTCTCTCCTTCTGTCTATCCCTCCCTTTCTCTCCCTCCTTCTCTTTCCCTCATTCTTTCCCTCCCTCTCTCCCTCTCTCCCCCCCCCATCCCTCTCTCTCTCTCTCTCTCTCACACACACACAGGGGGTCCAACCTTGGCACCTTTAAGACCTGTGAACTTCAACTCATACTGGCTGGGGAATTCGGCACCTTTAAGTCCACAGGTCTTAAAGGTGCCGAGGTTGAACACTTCTGGTCTAATGAATATTTGAATATTTAATCAGTTCAGTAAATGAACAAGTCCTAGTCTATATTGTTTGCCTGTGCGGGATGGAGACAAATGACCTATGCCTTCTCTTACCTGACCGTTCCTTGGGTTGCCTCTCTTCGCCTCATCTCACTGGGCTTCCTCACATACCAACACATGCAGAAACCCCAGGAAAAAATGGAGAAAAATGCTAAATGAAGCTTAGTATTGATAGTCCTTGAATTACTTTGTTTAGTGACCGATCGAAGTTACAACTTATGACCGGTGTTCACACGGCTGTGGCAGCATCCCCATGGTCACGTGATCAAAGCTCGGATGCTTGGCAACTGACATGTATTTAGGACAGTTGCGGCATCACGTGATCGCCATTAGTAAACCTTCCCACTGGCTTCTGACAAAGCAAAGTCAATGGGGGAAGCCAGGTTCGCTTAACGACCGATTCACTTAACTGCAACGTTTCACCCAGCAACCGCCATAAAATGGGGCAAAACTAATTTAAATTAATTTAAATGTGAGACAGTAAATACCAAGGGAAAAAGAGAGGAAATATTTAATGTACTAGTTTGTGATCTGTAGTAAAGACATGTGTATGTTATTGAATTATGAACCAACCCAGCCGCCACGTTGCTTTTCAAATATTTAAATGTAAAACTGGAAAACCAATAAAAATTTAAAAAAAAAAGTAAAATAAAATGGGGCAAAGCTCACTTAACCACCGTCTTGCTTCGCTGTGGAAATTTGATGCTCCATTGTAGATAGATAGATAACCTTTATCGTCATTTTTTCCTGTGAGCACAATGGCACACATTAAAAATGAAATTTAGTTGCTTCCTCTCAAAGTGTACGTATACATAACACATTTAAAACATATTATAGACCTACACCCTTACATATAAGTAACATATAAATATTATTCACTGTCCGTCTTGAATACACAACGGAAGGAGGAAGCTTGAGAGTTCACAAGGTTAATGCTGTATGGAACAAAGCTACGACTGAATCTGGATGTTCTGCTTTGGATGCCACAGAGCCCCCCCTCCCAGAAGGGAACAAGGAAAACAGGTTGTGGAGAGGATGTGTAGTGTCCCAGACAATCTTGTGGACCCTGCTCAAGCTACTCTTATGTGCCATGTCCTGGATTGAAGGGAGTGATCTGCCAATGATCTTTTCTGCTGTCCTCACCACTCTCTGCACCGCCTTCCTGTCTGAAGCAAGGATGCTTCCAAGCCAGACAGTGACGCCGTATGACGGGATGCTCTTGATCGTCCCTCTGCAGAAAGTGGTCAGGACAGGGGAAGGAAGATGTGCTTTTCTCATGCGACACATGAAAATGCAGGCGCTGCTGTGCCCGCTTCACCAGTGTCTCGCTGTTGAGTGACCAAGCCAGCCTACTTGTTAATTGCACACCCAGGAATTTGATGCTGGTAACCATCTCTACAGGTGAATCATTAATGCACAGAGTAAAGTAATAAGTTGAGGACTACCTGAGCAGGTGATCACTGGCAGGATGGACCAAAATCTTGGCCATGAGGTCAAAGTTCTCAACATCTATTTCCCAGGATCACGCCGATCTGAGGGAGCACTCGTTTACAGTTGGGATGAAGCTGGAAGCGGTGGATCAACGGGAACCAGCGACAATTTGCCCAGCTACTATAACCAAGGTGAGAAAACCAAAATGGAACTGAGAATTAAAATCAGGTGTTTTTTATAATCACAAGTGCTTAATATTTTATCAGCAACGTATTGTCTGGGTTCTAGCATTTAACTTACTAATATATGTTAAATTCCTTTCTCTCTACCTTGTTTTTCTAGCCATTGATAAAACATGTCTCATGATCTAAAATAAACTGAATCTTCTTTCTCTTTCATTTTCAATGTCAATCTACCCATTTCTGCATAATCTAAAAAAAATTTATTAACTCTTGGTAAATCTTCATTTTTCCAATGTTGAGCGAATACAATTCTCGCTGCAGTTAATACATGTAAAATTAGGTATATATACTCTTTCTCATAATTTCCTACAATTATGCCTAACAAAAATAGTTCTGGCTTAAATTCTATATAGTTTTTTAAGTCATTTTCTCTAACCATGTGTGTATTCTGAACCAGAATCTTTTGGCTTTGGGGCGTGTCCACCAAAGATGGTAATAAGTGCCTGGTTTTTGTCTACCTTTCCAGCAATTGCTTGATATATTTTTAAACACTTTTGCTAACCTCGCCGGTGTTAAATGCCATCTATAAAACATTTTGTGTAGATTTTCTTTGCACGCTACTGCTTTTGTTGTTTTTAGAATTTCTTTCCCAGAGGCTTTGCCAGTTCTCTAATTCTATGTAACGTCCAAAATACTTTGCCCATGTTATCATTGAGCATAAAACTGTCTCTTGAGTAGTTTGGAGGAACTTCTGGAACTTTTCCTTTCTCGCCCGACTATAGGACGGGCGGTCCTCGACTTACGACGATTCGCTTAGTGATCGTTGTTTCTCTATAGGTTTTCAACCACCATTTCGTGCAAGTCACTCTTGACGACCTCCGTCCCGAACCACACAACACCGCGATGCTTTGCCATGCTGATTCCTTGGGCATCCTGCCGGTGCAGTGGTGCCTTAAAAATGGAGTTCATCTCACCCCTCCCAAAGGTTTGTCTTGGCATCAAAGAATTGGGCTGGATTTGGGGGTTTTTTTTGCATAATCAGCAGAACAACTTGCCTCCAGAAGTTGTGGGTGCTCCATCACTGGAGGTTTTTAAGAAGAGATTGAACGACCATTTATCCAGAATGGTATAGGGCAGGGGTAGGCAACCTTGGCTCTTTTATGACTTGTGGACTTCAACTCCCAGAATTCCTGAGCCACCATGGCTAAGCATTGTAACCTCTTCCTTTCCCCTCTGCATGGCTGGCTCAGGAATTCTGGGAGTTGAAGTCCACGAGTCATAAAAGAGCCACGGTTGCCTACCCCTGTCCTAAGTCCTCCTGTTTTAAGTGGTGAGCCTCCTAGACCAGGGGTAGGCAACCTTGGCTCTTTTATGACTTGTGGACTTCAACTCCCAGAATTCCTGAGCCAGCATGGGGAAACTATGGCCCCCCTCATGACTTGTGGACTTCAATTCCCAGAATTCCTGAGCTGGCATGGGTGAACTATGGCCCCCTCATGACTTGTGGACTTCAATTCCCAGAATTCCTGAGCCAGCATGGCTCAGCTTGGAAACCTCTCCCTTTCCCCTCTGCATGGCTGGCTCAGGAATTCTGGGAGTTGAAGTCCACAAGTCATAAAAGGGCCAAGTTTGAAGACCCCTGGACTGGAGAGATACATTCCCAGCCTTTTGCTTCTTGTCCGCAAAGCTTAATCTTCAGAGCAATATCAAAACCATCAATGTTGCTGCATTAGATCAGCAAATTCCTGATAAGGCTTCTGGCTTCTAAGGGAATTTCTCCTTCTTCTTCCAAGAAGTGACTAAGGTAGATTAATAATTGGAAAGTAATGTACACATTGTTTTTAATGTACACAGTAATGTACAGTTAGAAGAGCTGTTTAGATTCCCTTGATTTGATGCCAGTCAGCAAATGAATAACCATTAATATCCCTCCAATATGAAAGCGCTCCGTTGACACTATTTATATGGTTGGGAGCTAGATTTATAGACTTCTTTTTCCTTAAGCCTTTACAGCTGTGGGGAGAATCTCTCTCTCTCTCTCTCTCTCTCTCTCTCTTTCTCTCTCTCTCTCTCTCTCTCTCTCTCTCTCTCTCTCTCTCTCTCTCTCTCTCTCTCGTTGCTGCCATATTTCTGCATGGGAGTTGTGTGCTTGCATAAGGCACCTTGCTTTTCGCTCTGGCTTATTCCCAATGAATGCAATTTCCAAGCAGCTCCCAACAATTGAATATTTAGATTTGAAAGCTGGGGATGCCTAGGCTCAGATTGGAGGCCGATCGTGCAGAAATTCAAGATGGAGATTCGTCGGAGAAGGAAACGGATGATGAAGGAGACGAGTCCCTTTCCCCACACAAAATGGATTAAAACTTAATTGGACAGAACCAGAAGTTTGAGACTAACTCAGCAGGTTTGGTCTAGTGCAAGGGTAGGCAACCTGGGCTCTTTTATGACTCGTGGACTTCAACTCCCAGAATTCCTAAGCCAGCCATGCTGAGGGGAAAGGGAGAGGTTTCCAAGCTGAGCCATGCTGGCTGAGGAATTCTGGGAGTTGAAGTCCACGAGTCATAAAAGAGCCAAGGTTGCCTACCCCTGGTCTAGTGATTAAGGCACCAGGCTAGAAACTAGGAGACAGTGAGTTCTAGCCCTGCCTTAGGCATAAAAGTTGATTGGGTGACTGTGGACCAATCACCAGCAGATGGTGAGTTCTAGTCTCACGTTAGGCCTGGAAGCTGGCTGGGTGAATTTGAGCCAATCATCAGGCGACTATGAGTTCTATCCCACTTTAGGCCTGGAAGCCGATTGGGCAGCTTTGGGCCAATCATTAGGAGACGCCTTAGGCATGGAAGTCGGTGGGGTGACTTTGGGCCAATCGCCAGGAGACTGAAAGTTCTAGTCCCGCCTTAGGCATGAAAACCAGCTGGGTGACTTCTCCTTGATTTACATTTATGTTGATGTAGCCTAACATCACATCCAGCTCTTTTGCCGCCACAGTACAATGCTGGCTGCCATCAATTGGCTCACTGTAAACAACAACAACAACAACAAATCATATGGACTGGATCAGGGGTCTTCAAACTTGGCAATTTTAAGACTTGTGGACTTCAACTCCCAGAATTCCTCAGCCAGCTACAGGGGTCTTCAAACTTGGCCACTTTAAGACTTGTGGACTTCAACCCCTAGAATTCCTCAGCCAGCTACAGGGGTCTTCAAACTTGGCCACTTTAAGACTTGTGGACCTCAACTCCCAGAATTCCTCAGCCAGCTACAGGGGTCTGAGAGCTGGTTGAGGAATTCTGGGAGTTGAAGTCCACAAGTCTTAAAGTGGCCAAGTTTGAAGACCCCTGGGCTAGATAATGTTTGAAAGTTTCTAAATTGTGTATATTGGCTCAGCTCATCCAATTCCTGTAAACTGGAGTTTGCGAAGGACAGGCTTTGAACAGGCTGCTGTAAACAGTCTAGGATACTTGTGTTATTCTTGAGGGACAGCTGTTGGGCTGTCCACACAACACGAGAGAAAACCATCTTTTGTTCGTTTCCTGGGATTTCCTGCAGGTTATTCTAATCCGGATTTTGACTGGGCAGATTACCAGAAGCAGTGCGGAGCGGAGGCAGCTCCCGAGTGCTGCTTCAGAAATGTAAGATCTGGTTTTGTTTTTACTGCATGGCAATCTTTCTTGACCCAGGCCCAGTGCCATTAACCGTCCTCCACCTTCGTTGTAGGTGTTCATAGCCAAAGAAAAGCTACTTGTGTAGAAAGTTAATGTCAAAGAGGTTGGGGTCATAGAAGCATCCATCCTTTGTTCCCTCCCTCACTCCCTCAATTTTCCCTTCCTTCCTTCCTTGCCTCTCTCCCTCCCTCCCTTCCTGCTTCAATTTCCCCTTCCATAAGATAAGATAAGACAAGACAAGACAAGACAAGACAAGATAAGATAAGATAAGATAAGATAACCTTTATTGTCATTTTTATACTGTGGGCACAACGGCACCCATCAAAAATGAAATTTAGTTGCCCACTCTCAAAGTGAAACACATATATGACACACACTTAAACATACTATGAACAACATATGTATAGACCCACACCCCTACATATACATAGCAAATAAATATCAAATACTGTCCATCTTGAATATATAACGGAAGGAGGAAGCTTGAGAGTTCGCAAGGTTAATGCTGTATGGAATGAAACTATGGCTGAATCTGGATGTTCTGCTATGGATACCACGAAGCCCCCTCCTCCCGGAAGGGAACAAGGAAAACAGGTCGTGAAGAGGATGTGTCGTGTCCCAGATAATCTTGCGGACCCTGCTCAAGCAATGCTTCTGTGCTATGTCCTGGATGAAAGGGAGGGAACTGCCAATGATCTTTTCGGCTGTCCTCACCACTCTCTGCACCGCCTTCCTGTCTGAAGCAGGGATGCTTCCAAACCAGACTGTGATGCTGTATGACAGGATGCTCTCGATCGTTCCCCTGTAGAAAGTGGTCAGGACAGGGGAAGGAAGATGTGCTTTTCTCATGCGACGCAGATAATGCAGGCGCTGCTGTGCCCGCTTCACCAGTGTCTCACTGCTAAGCGACCAAGTCAGCCTTCCTTCCTTCCTTCCTTCCTTCCTTCCTTCCTTCCTTCCTTCCTTCCTTCCTTCCTTCCTTCCTTCCTTCCTTCCTTCCTTCTCTCCCTCCCTCCCTCCCTCCCTCAATTTCCCCTTCCTCCCTCCCTCCCTTCATTGCTTCCTTCCATCCTTCCTCCCTCAATTTTTCCTTCCTTCCCTCTCTCCTTCCCTCTATTCCCCTTCCTCCCTTCCTCACCTATTTCTCCTTTTCCTTCCTCCCCCCTCCCCTATTTCCTTTCTCCCTCCTCTATTTCTCTTCTTCCTTTCTCCTCCCTCCCCCATTCCCTCCCTCCCTCCCTCCCTTCCTTCCTTCCAGCATCAGAATAGGAGAAGCCAACAAGGAAACATGTGCAGAGGGAAATGCAGCTAGATCAGCAGAAGCCCAAAGTAATTAGAATAAGCATGTGCAGTCCCAGCACAGTGGCTGAATTCCCCAGTTCTTGAGGCAGGGGTGGAGGTAGGAAGCAAAACGGGCCCTCCTTTCCAGTTGACGTAGCTCCCTGCCTACGGTCTATGCTAAGACCCGGAAGGAGAACGTTCTCTATCAAGATGATGGTATGAGTGATGACCATTTTTTCTCTGGGTTAGGATTCGAACTCGCTGTTTTGGGAACTGGGCTAGCAGGGAAATGAAAAGAAGAGAGCGGGTAACCCTTTGTCCAGAATGGTAGTATAAGGTCTTCTGTTTCAGCAGAGGGCTGGACTGGATGACCACGCAGGTCCCTTCCAACCCTGTTATTTTATGTTCCATTTTTGTTTTCTGTTGATGCCACTCAGGCTTCCTGTAGTCGAGCTTTTATGAAAAGCATGATGCTTGAAGCGGTGAACCCCCAGAATCCAGCCGAGATCTGCGTGGCATCGGTCACTTTGGTAAAAGGCCGGCTAATGTGGCTTTTTTTTGAAGGTACATTAGAAAACTGCTTGAAGGGAAAGTCCTGTCCTCCTTGACTCCTGCTAAATTCTTTCTTTCTTTCTTTCTTTCTTTCTTTCTTTCTTTCTTTCTTTCTTTCTTTCTTTCTTTCTTTCTCCCTGGGTCTTTCCTTCCTTCCTCCCTCCCTCCTTTTTCTTTTCTTTTGATTTCTTTCCTTCTATCCTCCCTTCCTGACTCCGACTCCTCCTCTCCCTCCCTCCCTCCTTCTTTCTTTGTTTCTTTGTTTCTTTCTTTCTTTCTTTGTTTCTTTCTTTCTCTTTCTTTCTTTCTTTCTTTCTTTCTTTCTTTATCCCTAGGTCCTTCCTTCCTCCCTCCCCCCTCCTTTTTCTTCTTTCATTTGATTTCTTTCCTTCTATCCTCCTTCTCTGACTCCTTCCTTCTTTCCTCCCTCCTTCCTTTTTCTTCTTTCTTTTGATTTCTTTTCTTCTAACCTCCCTTTTTGACTTCGACTCCTCCTCTCCTCTCCTCTCCCACCCTCCCTCCCTCCTTCTTTCTTTCTTTCTTTCTTTCTTTCTTTCTTTCTTTCTTTCTTTCTTTCTTTCTTTCTTTCTTTCTTTCTCCCTCCCTGGGTCCTTCCTTCCTTCCTCCCTCCCCTCCTTCTTTTTCTTCTTTCTTTTGATTTCTTTCCTTCTATCCTCCTTCCCTGACTCCTTCCTTCTTTCCTCCCTCCCTCCTTCTTTTTCTTCTTTCTTTTGATTTCTTTCCTTCTATCCTCCCTTCCTGACTCCGACTCCTCCTCTCCCTCCCTCCCTCCTTCTCTTTCTCTCTCTCTCTCCCTCCCTCCCTCCCTCCTTCTCTTTCTCTCTCTCTCCCTCTCTCCCTCCCTCCCATTTAAAGCACATTTAAAGCTGGAGAAAACAAAGTCTTCTCCCCGCTTGTATGTATCTGTGCTTTTTCTTTTCTTTTTTGCCACCAAATTGCTGCCCTTCTGGTGTTTATGATGCATTCTAATGTGTTGATAGGTCTAGCGCACAGCCCTGCTTCCGAATATATAGTGGATGTTGAATCAATGAACACCTTCCCTGTGGGCTGGTGCGAAGCAAATGGCTACAAGCTCTTGGCACCGCATAAAAACACCGGTAAGTCCTCGGAAGAGCAAAGCTGGATTGCTGAGTTTTGCAACAAGCGTTTGGAGGTTTGGCCTTTTCCAGGAGGACGGATAGTCCTCGACTTACACATTTTGAGCCCAAAATTTCCATGGCTAAGCAAGACGGTTGTTAAGTGAATTTTGCCCCCATCTTACGACCTTCCTTGCCACAGTTGTTCAGTTAGTAACACGGTTGTTAAGTGAATCCGGCTTCTCCATTGACTTTGCTTGTCGGAAGGTCGCAAAAGGTGATCCCGTGAAGCGGGGACACGGCAACCATCATAAATAGGAGTCAGTTGCCACTTGTCTGAATTTTGATCACATGACCATGGGGAGGCTGCAGTGGTGGTCGTTCAGTGTGAAAAAACGCTCATAAGCCACTTTTTTCAGTACCTTTGTACTTTTGAACGGTCACTAAATGAACTGTTGTAAGTCGAGGACTGCCTGTATTAACCACCCTGGCTGTGTCTTCTAGGAATTGCAGTTCAGCAACAAGCCAAGATGCAGTTGAGTTCATGAAGCCAAACTAAGGGAGTTGTTTAATGCCATGAAAGCAACCTGGAACTAAGGAGAAACTTCCTGACAGTGAGAACAATTAGCCAGTGGAACAACCTGCCTCCAGAAGTTTTCAAGAAGAGATTGGACAGCCATTTGTCTGAAATGGGATAGGGCAGGGGTAGGCAACCTTGGCTCTTTGATGACTCGTGGACTTCAACTCCCGGAATTCTGGGAGTTGAAGTCCACAAGTCATAAAAGAGCCAAGGTTGCCTACCCTTGGTATAGGGTTTCCTGCCTGAGCAGGGGGTTGGACTAGAAGACCTCCAAGGTTCCTCCCAATTTTCATTATTATTATTGATCATCGCACAGTCAGCCAGATGTTCAGACTGGATTTGGCATTTTGTCTACCTATCGAGTCCTTACCCAGGACCTGGGATAGCCAGATGTGGATGTTTGATGGTATTACAGATATCGTCGCAGGATGGAAGCAGTTCCTAGTAAGGCCGCCTTTTGCAATTGACTAATAGCGAATTTGTCAATGCCGATGATGGTGTTCAAGTGGTGCTCCAGTTGTTTTGGGATTGCACCCAAGGCGCCTATTACTATTGGTACTAACCTTGCTTGCTTTTGCCACAGTCTTTCTATTTCTATTTTATTATTATTATTATTATTATTATTATTATTATTATTATTATTATTATTATTATTATTATAAAGTTGGAAGGGACCTTGGAGGTCATCAAGTCCAACCCCCTGCTCAGGCAGGTAACCCTATACCATTTCGGACAAATGGCTGTCCAGTTTCTTCTTAAAAACTTCCAGTGTTGGAGCAATTCACTGCATTCTTCATCATCATCATCATCATCAAAACCTGTAACAGCCTTTTAAGAAGGGAAATATGGGGTTTTTTTTCCTGGAGAATGAAAAGGTTTGTGCCAGCCAGATAAAATATGATCTGTCTTAAGAGATTGGACAGCCACCTGTCTGAAATGGTATAGAGTCTCCTGCTTAAGCAGGGGGTTAGACTAGAAGTCCTCCAAGGTCCCTCTCAGCTCTGTTATTCTGTTATTCTGTAATTAACATTCACAAGTTGGATGGAGAACCTGACCGGTTCCATTTTGCTGCACCGTTTTGTTTGGAGAGCAAATGTGATTTTTAAATCGACAAGGAAGCGTGCCTAATTTGGACAGCATGGCAAAATTAAAAATTGCCCTGGCTTTTTTTTCCCCTTCTAATGCGATCCATGGAACAGAAACACCCGGGGGCAACCAGGCGTGCGAAATTTAATCACAAATGATGTTCTTCTGAAACGGAAGAATATTGCTTATTGTTTTAGTTATTTTTTTTTTCTTATTATTAAGTGCAGATCCCATAAATAAACTCACCATGAGCAAAGAGCCGGAGGGCGCCATGGAATCCTGTAGCATAATGTTTGAATGAAGGAGTAACAATTGTTCAAAGCTTACGCCTCAGCAGGGATGACTGGAGTGTAACGGCAATTTATTGTAATTAATATCCCGAGGGCCATAATGCTCAAACGGCTAAGCTTATTCGTGGGTGATTTTATGCATTTCTACTCAAAAACAAATGCATTGTCTCTCTTCTAAGACTATAAAGCAGTGGTTCTCAACCTTTTTAATGCCGCGACCCCCCAACCGGTCATAAGTCGAGGACTACTCAACCGGTCGTAAGTCGAGGACTACTCAACTGGTGCAGCACCGTTTGCAGAATGGGACTTTTGGCGGGCTCAGCAGGGCAGAGACAGCCTGGACAATGCCTATTGGCTTTTGAAAGCCAATAGAATTAGACTCTATTCAAGAGAGTCTATTCTATTGGCTTTCAAAGCCAATAGAATAAAAGGGAGTAGCACAGCTAAGGAAAAGGGGAAAAAATGGCAGACTGCGTTGTTTGGCGACCCCCGTGAAATGGTTGTTCGACCCCAAATGGGGTCCCGACCCACAGGTTGAGAACCACTGCTATAAAGGAAGTCCTCGGCTCACAACTGTTTGTTTACCGTAGTAACTATTTGCATTTACAACGGCACTGATAAAACGGCAGTCTTAACGACGGTTGCAGCATCCCCATAGCTCACGTGATCAAAATTCAGACGCTTTGGCAACTGACTCATATTTATGACGGTTGCAGTGTCCCAGGGAGTCACGTGATTTCCTTTTACGATCTTCTGACACGCCAAGTCAGCGGAGAAGACAGAGTCACTTAACAACCAGGTGTCTAATTTATGAACCGTGGAGTTTCCCTTAACAACTGTCGCAAGGAAGGTTGTAAACTCCGGCAAACCCAACATAACACATGCCTCGCTTTACCCCAGAAATGTCGGGCTCAGTGGCGGTCATAAGCTGAGGACTCCCTGTTCTTGGAGCTCCTGAAAAAAAAAGAGTGAGCAGGTCTTTCATTTCCATGCAGGAAAATCCATTTGCAAACGTGCGTTACCAAATTAACCCTTGTCCTTGTGCTCATTTTCCAGTGCAAAGGAAGAGAAAGGTTGCCATAGTCCAGCCGGAAAAGCAGTAAGTAACTGCCCTTAAAATGTCAATTACAGCAGAGTTTTTATCACGTAAATCAAAGTGTTGCTCTGAGCTAGAAAGGACTTGATTAAATTGCAAGGGGTGTGTTGACCTATAGGTAGTCCTCGACTTAACGACCATTCCTTCAGTGAATGAATGTTACAAGGCTACAGCCATTCATTTAGCGATTTATTCGACATAACGACGGCCCTGAAAAAAAAAAGGGAACTCACGACCGTTTTTCACACTTAATGACCGTTGCAGTAACTACCAACTTGCCTCCAGAAGTTGTGAATGCTTCAACACTGGAAGTTTTTAAGAAGAGACTGGACAGCCATTTGTCTGAAATGTTATAGGGTTTCCTGCCTGAGCGGGGGGTTGGACTAGATGACCTCCAAGGTCCCTTCGAATTCTGATAGCAGCCTTCCAATATTTAAGGGGCTCCCACAAAGAAGAGGGGCTCCACCTCTTCTCCAAAGCACCTGAAGGTTGGACAAAAAGCAACAGATGGAAACTGATCAAGGAGAGAAGCAACCTAGAACTAAGGAGAAATTTCCTGACAGAACAGTTAACCAGTGGAACAACCCGCCTCCAGAAGCTGTGAAAGCTCCAACACTGGAAGTTTTTAAGAAGAGACTGGACAGCCCTTTGTCCGAAATGGTATAGGGTTTCCTGCCTGAGCAGGGGGTTGGACTCAATGACCTCCAAGGTCCCTTCCAACTTTATTATTGTTGTTGTTGTTGAACAGTCACTAAAGAGGTCAGTTGATAAATGGGGACTGTAGTTTGCAATCTGAGTGCTTTTTTTTTTGTCCTCTATTAGGATAATAGCGGAAGTGCCTATTGAGAAAATTCAGAATCCTTACCGGCTTCCCCAGACGGACAGGATGGGTAAGTTTCCAGAAAAAGATTATCGTTTTTCTAATTTGGATCTGAACTACCCCCACCTTTAAGTGCGAAGAAGATAAATCAATGAACTCAGCATTCATACCTTCAGCTCCTCAAATATGATTCCCCCCCCCCCCATCTTCAAACTTTTGCTACTGAATTTGGGAGATTTTTTAAAAAATGGCCAAAAGGGGAAGTTGGTGAAATAGCTCAGTGAAAAAACCATTATATGAACCGCAAGCCGCTTTGTATTTTAATAATTGTATATCTTTGGAGATTCTCAATCATCCAGGCCATGGTTGTCCATCCTAAAGGTGCTTTTTTTAAAAAGGACTCTCTTGTTTTTTTTGCCTTTGAAAATATTTTGCTTCTCATCCAAGAAGCTTTTTTTCAGTTCAGTTCAGAAAACATTATGAGCCGAGGTGGCGCAGCAGTTAGGGTGCAGTACTGCAGGCCACTTTAGCTGACTGTGGTCAGCAGTTCAAATCTCACCGGCTCAAGGTTGACTCAGCCTTCCATCCTTCCGAGGTAGGTAAAATGAGGACCCAGATTGTTGGGGGCAATGTAAATATATATATATACATTGCTTACTGGTGTACACTGCTTAGAGAGTGCTTGCACTTAAAGCGGTATATAAGTCTCATAAATAAAAAATAAATAAATAAATTATTGGAATTTACAAGTTGCTTTGTATTTTCATAACTTTAGGGAGATTCTCAGCCATCCTGATTATGACTGTCAAGAAGGATGGGAAGCAAAACGTTCTCAAAGGAAAAAAACAAGTTGCCTTTTATATAAAAAAAACAGCTTTGGGTTAATAATTTTATGGTATTCCATTGATTCACAGTGGGAAAGCATAAAAAGGAGTCTCAAAATACTACTCTGTAACTTCAAAGATATCAATAAAAGCAACAAAATAATAGCAACGAGAAGATAGAGCAAGAGGCCTCGGAAATTATGTAATAAACAAAAGAATTCCCAAAATTATTATTTTATATATAGCTTTTTAAGTCTTCCTTTTAAAACATTTTGAAAACACTGCTTTAGGACTGGGGTAGGGGGGAGCAGAGATAACCAGGGAAGGGAATTATTATTATTATTATCTTTGATGATGTTATGATTACAATATTAGGATTGTTTGATAGTATTTTTTTTATTGAAAATTTATAAGGTTTTACAATACAAAAACAAAACAGTTTTCCCCATCCCTCCCCAACCCTCCCCTTCCCTCCCCCGACTATCCCAGAGCTGGATATAGGCTTCATTAGAATTTCTTCAAAAAATCTTAAGAAAAGTATAAAATATAAATAAATCTAGATACATTACTTAAACAAATTATTAAATAATTAACAACAATATATATGTAAAAAAAAGAAAAACATAACTACCAGAAAAGAAAAAAAAGAAATATATAAAAAATATGAAAATAAAATTAACTTTTCAATATAAGTTATAAAACTATAAACAAATCTAAATACATTACTTAAACAAGTTATAAAATAATTAAAGGTAATATATATATATATAAAAAGAAAAATAGAAAAGAGGAAAGAAGAAAATCATAATAATAAAAAAAGGGAAAAAAAGTTTGGCTTTTCAAGAAAATTGGCTTTTCAATATAAATTATTAAAAAGCTAAATAATATTTTTAATATCCATCTTGTGTTGTATAAAATCTATGATAGTATTATCATTGCTTGTGATATATATGTGATTATTTATTTTTACCATGAATTACACTGCTGCCTAATTTATTTATTTATTACAAATACTTTTTATGTAGCTTCAACCAATTTGATGCTAAATGCATGGCACCAAGCTGAAGGAAGTGGAATTCACGCAGGGTTTTTCAAACTTCACCCCTTTAACATTGAGGGAACTTCAACTCCCAGAAATCCTCAGCCAGTCTGGCGGGCTGTGGAATTCTGGGAGTTGAAGTCCATCCATCTTGGCTAAGTGGCTAAGTTTGAAAAACACGGCATTCATTATCATAATAAATAAGTACTTTTGAATCAGCAGTCCAATTCAAAGCAATACAGGTAATCTTCGACTTCCTACAGCTTATCTAGTGACTGTTGGAAGCTTCAAAGGTATTGAAAAAAAAAAGTGAGTTATGACCTTTTTTCATACTTACGACCGTGGCAGCATCCCCAGGGTCACGTGATCAAAATTTAGATGCTTGGTAACTGACTCGTATTTATGACAAGCGTAGTGTCCCCGGGTTTTACTCCTACCGTAATCACCCTGAGCTGGGCGGCCCTATAAATTTTCTAAATAAATAAATAAATAATATTTAACCTTAGACCAGTGGTTCTCAACCTATGGGTCGGGACCCCATTTGGGGTCAAACGACCATTTCACGGGGGTCGCCAAACAACGCAGTCCGCCATTTTTTCCCCCTTTTCCTTAGCTGTGCTACTCCCTTTTATTCTATTGGCTTTTGAAAGCCAATAGAATAGACTCTCTTGAATAGAGTCTTAATTCTATTGGCTTTCAAAAGCCAACAGGAATTGTCCAGGCTGTCTCTGCCCTGCTGAGCCCACCAAAAGTCCCATTCTGCAAACGGTGCTGCACCAGTTGAGTAGTCCTCGACTTACGACCGGTTGAGTAGTCCTCGACTTACGACCAGTTGGGGGTCGCGGCATTAAAAAGGTTGAGAACCACTGCCTTAGACAGATAGTCCTTGACTTACAATCATTCATTCAGTGACTGTTTCAAGTCACAACAGCAACTGAAAAAAGGCAATTTATGACTGTTTCCTCACACTTACGACGGCTGCAGCCTTCCCGCGGTCACATGATCAAATTTCAGACCCTCGGCAATTGACTTGTATTTATGGCAGTCGCAGCCTCCCGGGGTCACATGATCCCCTTTTGTGACCTTCTGACAGGCAAAGTCAATGGGGGGAAGCCAGATTCACTTAACAACCACGTGACTGACTTAACAACGGCAGAGTTTCACTTTAACAACTGTGGCAAGAAAGGTCATAAAATGGGGCAAAACTCACCGAACGACGGTCGCCCTCAGCAACAAAAATGCTGCGCTGCGGTCATCAGCCGAGGACTGCCTGTATTGTCCAACTCAAAAAGGATTATAATTCCCACGCACCTAGGTGCCGTGTTGAATGTAAGTGGAAGGAGTAGATCAGGGATAGGCAACCTTGGCTCTTTTATGACTCATGCACTTCAACTCCCAGGATTCCTGAGCCAGCCATGCTGAGGGGAAAGGGAGAGGTTTCCAAGCTGAGCCAGGCTGGCTCAGGAATTCTGGGACTTGAAGTCCCACGAGTAGTAAAGTGGCCTAGGGCAGGGGTAGGCAACCTTTGTGCTTTTATGACTCGTGGACTTCAACTCCCAGAATTCCTGAGCCAGCCATGCTGAGGGGAAAGGGAGAGGTTTCCAAGCTGAGCCAGGCTGGCTCAGGAATTCTGGGAGTTGAAGTCCACGAGTCATAAAAGAGCCAAGGTTGCCTACTCCTGGAGTAGATAAACTCCATCAACACAGATGCTGTTTATGTCCCAAGATGGCGGGAAAGAGGAGGGTAGAGAGTAAATGTAGCCCAGATGGGATGCTGGAAGAAGTTGGGGTTGTGTGTGTTTCTTCTCTGCAGGAACCGTCAATGGGAGGTACAATTGCCTCATGCTCTTCATCAACCACCGCTGTTTCTCTGGCCCACATCTCAACAAAGGCAGGTTGGCAGAACTGCCGCAGTCCGTCGGGCCAGGCAAATGTGTCCTGGTCCTTAAAGAGGTAAGGATAGTGAGATGTCCCAGGCAAAGTGGGAAGGGCCTGTGAGGCCATCCAAAATACTTGCCTGCTGAGTGTGAAATCCAGATTGAAGCTTCTGTCCATAGGAGAGAATATTGGTAGCCCTGGCTTGAACTTTGCGGTGCCTGGTGCACTCAGAGCTTGGTGGTTTTCTTGCAGATGTCTCATGCCCCAACTACATATCAGCATCAGTGCTATTCTATTCTATTCTATTCTATTCTATTCTATTCTATTCTATTCTATTCTATTCTATTCTATTCCATTCCATTCCATTCTATTCTATTCCATTCCATTCCATATCTTCTTTTCTATTCTATTCCATTCCATTCCATATTTTTTATTCTATTCTATTCCATTCCATATTTTCTATTCTATTCTATTCTATTCTATTCTATTCTATTCTATTCTATTCTATTCTATACTATTCCATTCCATTCCATTCTATTCCATTCCATATTTTCTATCCTATCCTATCCTATCCTATTCCATATTTTCTATTCTATTCTATTCTATTCTATTCTATTCTATTCTATTCTATTCTATTCTATTCTATTCTATTCTATTCCATTCCATATTTTCTTTTCTATTCTATTCCATTCCATATTTTTTATTCTATTCTATTCCATTCCATATTTTCTATTCTATTCTATTCTATTCTATTCTATTCTATTCTATTCTATTCTATTCTATTCCATATTTTCTATTCTATTCTATTCTATTCTATTCTATTCTATTCTAAGCTGGCCTACCTCATAGGGCTGATATTAACCTTGAAATGTGCAGTCCTTGATGCTTTTTGGCCACAGCTTCAAGCCCGGTGTCTTTGCTCTGTTCAGATCCTTCGTATGGTGGTCAACTGTGCCTACAAACCCAGAAGCATTTTGCGAGAGTTGCAACTTGTCGATGACTCCAGGTGGAACTTTCAGGAAGAGAATCTCAAAGCAAAGTAAGGACTATTTCTAAAAGGAAGAAAAACTAGACTGTTTCTGTTTAAGAATATATCCACGATGGCGGGCACGGGAGGGAAAGGATGTTGGCAGGTAGAAGTTATTTTACCTGAAAACAATTGAACAAACTATTGTGTCAGTAACTTAGCCAAACATGCCCACTGTCGCCAAATTACAGCAAAAAGTTTTAAAAGCCTCCACTTAATGTATTTGAGGATGTAGGTCAGTGTTTCTCAACCTTGACAATTTTAAGGCATGTGGACTTCAACTCCCAGAATTCCTTAGCCAGCCATGCTGGCTGGGGAATTCTGGGAGTTGAAGTCCACAAGTCTTAAAGTGGCCAAGTTTGTGGACGCCTGCTGTAAGTCAAGGGCTACATGCATACACACCTTCTTTGCTCAGCACAAGAGTTTTGATGCGTTCTTTTCAAGGTTCTTTTGTAAAACAGCCCTCTGGAGATTTTTAATCCCTGCTTCTACAACTTCAGTTATGTCACACTTAATTAGGAAAGCAAAATGAATTCCACTAGGGGAATTTCTGCTGTTCCAGACAGATGCAAGGCCTAGTAAACCGTCACATCTTAAATTCTTCCAGCTAATAGGTTTGGATGAGGTTTTCTTTTTTTTTTTAATTACCTCAGTGTGGCTGATAAAATGAAAATGTTATTGGAACAATCACGCCAAGGAATATGTCAGGAGAAATTTCCTGACGGTTAGAACAATTAATCAGTGGAACAACCTGCCTCCAGAAGCTGTCAATGCTTCAAAACTGGAAGTTTTTAAGAAGAGACTGGACAGCCATTTGTCTGAAATGGTATAGGCCAGGGGTCTTCAAACTTGGCCCTTTTAGGACTTGTGGACTTCAACTCCCAGAATTCCTCAGCCAGGTATGCTGGCTGTGGAATTCTGGGAGTTGAAGTCCACAAGTCCTAAAAGGGCCAAGTTTGAAGACCTCTGGTATAGGCTTTCCTGCCTGAGCAGGGGTTGGACTAGATGACCTCTAAGGTCCCTTCTAACTTTATTATTATTATTATTATCATCATCGTCGTCATCGTCATTGTTGTTATTGTTATTGTTATTAAAATGATGTTATTGCTTATGTATTGGAGTTAAAGTATTTAAAATCTTGTTTCTTGGATGTATGTATAATTGTCTGATGTTCATTTAAGTTGTATGTTTTTTGTTGTTGTTTTTTTTCTTTTTTCTTTTAACCCTGTATTCAGCTCTGGGAAGGAGGGGGGAGGGTGATGGGGGGAGTATTTTATTGTAAAACTTTAAAAATTTTCAATAAAAAAAATGATGTTATTGCAAGGGATACTCGTTTGATGGCTGCGCACTCAGTTTGGCAGGTTGAAAACGTCTTATGTCTATGCCTGCCAAAAAAACCTTATTTTTTTAAAAAAAAACCAGTTCTCCAACTTTATTTTGGAGGTTGCCAAAGCTTTCTTAATGAATTCAGGGAACCAATTTTCTAGAAAGTGACGGAATAACACCGTAATACGAGGATGTTCAACCTTGGCAATTTTAAGCCACACTGGTTGGGGCATTTTGGGTGTTGAAATCCACATGTCTTAAAGTTGCCAAGATTGAACATACATCTCTGAGTTACATTGAAAAAAATTACATTTAACTCTTACGTTAAAAAAAACATAAAATATTAAAAAAAAACCCTCAAAGAGCAGACTTGATGGCCGATGGCTCTTTTTCTGCCATCAGTTTTCTATCTTTCTGTGAGTTCCCCCAGTCCAATATTTGCATTATGGAAAAACGGTTTCTCTATCTGGTGAAGAAATAGTTTGCACTGGGAATTTCTGCAGGGTATGGTCAAATCAAGATGGTGGCCAGGTAGCCATGGCAAATAGAGATAGATTAACCTGTTGAAGGAAAAATCTTCATCAGGGTCCAGTCCAAGCTGGGAATAATCAAAATGGAGACTGCTTTAGAAAGAAGGTTGCGGTTTATTGAAGAGGAGCCAGACAGAAAGATGGCTCTGGAAGAAGAGAGAGAGAGAGAGCACATGTAGGGAGTGGGTTTTTATACCTTCTTGAGCCTTTTGTTTGGAGTTGTTCCCGTGGCATGAACTTTGACCTGAGTCTGAGTGTGCCTTTCTGATATTCTGATGGTGGTGGGTTAATCCTATGATGTCCCAAAGGTCATATCCTGCTTCCCTGGGGCTGTGGCTAATGAGTGTTGGATTTTTTGGGTGTGAGGGATTGTTGATTCTAGGGATCTTCGTCTTTCTAATCCTAGCTTCCTGGCTCCAATCTTTCTGATAAGATTATCACGCCTGCATTTCTGCAGATCTGGTTTGTGTCTAGGACAGAGAGACTTGAGGGCGGGGGTTGGTTTCTGCCTTTAAAATCCTTTGGGGTAATATATTCTGCCTTTTTAATATTTGTGTGGATTTTGTTTGTCTTGCATGGCCTGGAGTATTGTGATCGGAGTGGCCTAGAAATCTCCCTTTGTAATATTTCCCAAAATATTTCTTTCTCTGGATTCTTCCCACAAACTATTCCTAAATCCTGGTTCGTATCCCTGTGATCTATCTTTGTGAGGACCTGGCTGATCCAACTGAACTAGAGTGTTACCCCCCCCCCCAAATCTTGATTTATGGTGTAACGTTTGCCGTGTTGCAACCACTATCATAGATACCGAGGGAAAACATACAGGGCAACGGTCAAGATAGTTCGTACGTCTGACCAGGTCCCCGATTTTTGCCGGAAGGTGTGTGCGAAACTGGAATGCTGCCCCAATTTATTCAGCCCTCTCCCGGTCACGGAAAACTGCCCTGAAAACTGTTCCAGTCACACCAAAACAAAATACGGTAAGTGTACATGACAACGGTGGCACAAAACGTGGTATGGTTTTGATTTGTGTGGATTTTGTTTCTCTTGCGTGGCCTAGGGCAGGGGTAGGCAATCTTGGCTCTTTTATGACTCGTGGACTTCAACTCCCAGAATTCCTGAGCCAGCCATGCTGAGGGGAAAGCGAGAGGTTTCCAAGCTGAGCCATGCTGGGTCAGGAATTCTGGGAGTTGAAGTCCACAAGTCATAAAGTGGCCTAGAGCAGGAGTAGGCAACCTTGGCTCTTTTATGACTCGTGGACTTCAACTCCCAGAATTCCTGAGCCATCACGCTGAGGGGAAAGGGAGAGGTTTCTAAGCTGAGCCTGCTGGCTCAGGAATTCTGGGAGTTGAAGTCCACAAGTCATAAAAGAGCCAATATTGCCTACCCTGGGCCTAGGGTATTATGATTGGGGTGACCTAGAAATCTGCCAATAAATCAGATTTGGTATTGGCATTTGCTGATGGGAAACAATTTAAATTGACTCTGAAGAACAGCACTGGGGAAGCCACCGGAATTTCTTGCATTCTGGCTGAAGAAAGAAATATAATATAAATTAGCTTAATGATGCTAATTCAGCCCAAAATTTCTGCTGCTTAACAGTTTGTTAAGTGAGTTTTGCCTCATTTTTGCAACCTTTCGTGCCTCAGTTGTTAAGGGAATCAACGCAGTTATTAAGTAAGTCACACAGTCATTAAGTGAAACCGGTTCCCCCATTGACTTTGCTTGTCAGAAGGTTGCCAACCGTCATAAATAGGAACCGTCGGAATTTTGATCACGTGACCATGTGGATGCTGCCACGGTCGTAAGTGTGGAAAAAAACGTTCCTCAATCGCTTTTTTTCACCGCTGTCGTAACTTTGGATGGCCACTAAACAAATAACTGTAAGTCAAGGAACTATGTGTAGTTCCCCAGAATTGAATGGTTTGATTATTATTTTTATTTTTACCAAACTTTTTCTCTCCAGCATACTATTATGGAAAACGGAGGAAAGTCATTAAATCTTCCCCCAGTGAAGAAAGCACTTACAGCCTGGAGAGCAGACACAACTTGCCTGATGGCGGGAAAATGCAGAAACCCATTTTAACGCTGAAGAGAAGTTGTCCATCCGCAGCAGATCTGAACAGAGCAGGATCGTCAGAGGTGAGATATGGCGACTCTTGTGAAAATTATCTGCACACGAGGTGGAATAAGTCAGAAAGATAACAGAATAGAATAACAGAGTTGGAAGGGACCTTGGAGGTCTTCTAGTCCAACCCCCTGCTCAGGCAGGAGACCCTATACCATTTCAGACAAGGGTCTGTCCAGTCTCTTCTTAAAAGCGTCCAGTGTTGGAGCATTCACCGCTTCTGGAGGCAGGTTGTTTCACTGGTTAATTGTTCTCACTGTCAGGAAATTTCTCCTTAGTTCTAGGTTGCTTCTCTCCTTGATTAGTTTCCATCTGTTGCTTCTTGTCCTGCCTTCAGGCGCTTTGGAGAATAGCTTGACTCCCTCTTTGGGGCAGCCCCTGAGATATTGGAACACTGTTATCATGTCCCCCCTCGTCCTTCTCTTCATTAGACTAGACATTCCCAATTCCTGCAACCGTTCCTTATGTGTTTTAGCCTCCAGTCCCCTGATCATCTTTGTTGCTCTTTTCTGTACTCTTTCTAGAGTCTCAGCATCTTTCTTACATTAGATTAATGTGGGAGGGATCAAGTACTACAATGCTGTCCAGAGTAATTTTTTGCAAACCAGACAATTTTTAAGACTCCAACTCCCATATTTGTGCATAATTTAGCTCTTCTCTTCCTATTCACGTTCCTTATGGTCATGTTGTTTACACTGTACATCTGTATTGTAAATTATAATTTTCCTTAAGACAGGGGTAGACATGGACGTCAACTCCTAGAATTCCTCAGCCAGCATGCCTGGCTGAGGAATTCTGAGAGTTGACATCCACAAGTCATCAAAGGGCCAAGTTTGAAGACCCCAGCCTTAAGAGGTTTGCTAGATAGACAGAATGTATTGTGATGCAATATCAGAGACAAATAACTCATACAACTCAAGCATCATTCTATTGTAAGAACTAAACCCCCAAGGTGAGAGATAGGATAGAGAGATGGGCTGAAAATGTCTAGAGGGGACATTTAAGGGATGCAGCTGTTAGTTCACGAATGCCTAGATGAGTGTTTTTCAAACTTGGCCCCTTTAAGATGTGTGAACTACAACTCCCAGAATTCCCCAGTCCTCATACTTGAAGACCTGTGGACTTCCAAGTCCCAGAATTTCTCAGCCAGGATAATTCCTTAATTCCTTTAAACATGCTGCCTGGGGAACTCTGGGGGTTGAAGTCCACCAGTCTTAAAGTGGCCTAGTTTGAAAAGCAGTGATGTAAGGCAGGAATCTTCAAACCTGGCCCTTTTATGACTTGTGGACTTCAACTCCCAGAATTCCTCAGTCGGCCATTTTGATGAAACTACAGGCTTGGATCCAGACCAGGGGTCTTCAAACTGGGCCCTTTTATGACTTGTGCATTTCAACTCCCAGAATTCCTCAGTCGACCATTTTGATGAAACTGCAGGCTTGGATCCAGACCAGGGGTCTTCAAACTTGGCCCTTTAATGACTTGTGGACTTCAACTCCCAGAATTCCTCAACCAGCATGCTTGGTTTAAGAATTCTGGGAGTTGAAGTCCACAAGTCATAAAAGGGCCAAGTTGGAAGATCCCCTGATGTAAAGGAAGGCTGTTTCTCTACCTTGGCTCCTATTTAATGGAATAACCTCTCTTCGGAGTCTAACTATGTTCTATCTGTTTGATTTAATGGTAATTATTGCAAAACGGTGCTCTCCCAGGAAACACATGATGATGCCCTCTGGGTTTTTATTGGGTAGTTTCAACAGATTCTCTTTCACACTCCTCATTAACAGCTATGTATTATTAATTATCACGTTGCAGGTAGAAGGGAAGTTTCTGTTCTGTTAGTGTGCTGATTTCTCTTAATGTGGTTTTCTGCTGGGAGCCCTTTGGTTAATTTGGGGGTGTCCGGTGTGGGAATCAGGAAACCCAGGCCATTAAAATGAATATAAGAATTTATTGCAAGTTTACGCTGTCTACAAGAATCTGAATAACTAATGGTCAAGGCAAAGGGGCAGTGGATAAGAGTCGCGGGAATTCTTGCAAGCAAGAAGGGACTCAAGACTGATAACACATTTGACTCCTCCCTCGGGCTCAGCCTTGTCACCTCCTTACAGGGGGTATACAAACACAGTCCATTAATTCAATTCACTTTCGTGGCAGGAGAGTGACGAGGAAGAAGCAGACACCCCGTGGAGCGAGGAGATCAACCCAGAATTGCAGGATGATCTAACGGATGCCTCCTCGGAGGAGATGTCTCTGGCCATCCCAGTGAGCACAATGAAGTTACGCAGCAGCAGAGGCTCCATCCATGTGGCTCGGCCCGAGAGTGATGGGCACGCCCCGAAGGCGCTTTCCTTCCTGCGTGCCCAAAGTGAAAGAACCAGGCAGGTAAGTGGCTGGATAGCCCTACCTTGCTTCTGATGGTCTCCGACATTTGAATGATTCCAACTCAACCCTCATTGGTTTGCTGTCTTGTAGGCCTTGTTCATACGCTTGTTTTGGGATGTTTTGTGGGCAAGCCAGCTTGGTTAGGCTTGAAGGCCACATCCCTCTTTATGTGGTCTGTCCCAGGCCAGTTTCCAAACGGAAATGTGTTTATTTAGGAAAGGGCCATCACAAACATGAAGGGACAACAAGCTACTTAAGAGATAACACACTTAAGTTGTCCTTCAATTCTTTATTGGCCAAGGGTGATTGGACACACAAGGAACTGTCACTTTTATGGGAGCCGGTTTAGCACAAAAGGAAGGCCAGAGTTAGACTTAAAAAATGATTTTCTTTATGTGACATTTAATGAAAGTGTTTCAAATCTCACATAATGGGATAAGATTTTAAAAGATATTATTTGATTTAATATTCAGGAGTTATATCTATAAGGGAAACAAATTAGTTATTAAAATAATAGTTAAGAATTATAAAATAGAAGATGGATTTAGAGGATAAAGGTTATTTTATGAGTAAGCGATGATATTAGAATGAGAAGTAGAATATGACTGTGAAATAAACCAAGAATTTATTTGAATAAATAATAAGTGTATTTTAGATATGATAATTATTTTGTAATCAACTAAAGCAGTGGTTCTCAACCTGTGGGTCGGGACCCCATTTGGGGTCGTACGACCATTTCACGGGGGTCGCCAAACAACGCAGTCCGCCATTTTTTCCCCCCTTTCCTTAGCTGTGCTACTCCCTTTTATTCTATTGGCTTTTGAAAGCCAATAGAATAGACTCTCTTGAATAGAGTCTAATTCTATTGGCTTTCAAAAGCCAATAGGAATTGTCCAGGCTGTCTCTGCCCTGCTGAGCCCGCCAAAAGTCCCATTCTGCAAACGGTGCTGCACCAGTTGAGTAGTCCTCGACTTACGACCGGTTGAGTAGTCCTCGACTTACAAGCGGTTGGGGGTCGCGGCATTAAAAAGGTTGAGAACCACTGAACTAAAGGAACCGTGGGTTATCTGAAACTTAAATACTATGGACATTAAGCCAACTGGAATATTGTAATTGAAATTTAGATAAAAGTTAAAAACAGGATCTGGAGACATATAAGTTAAAAGTTGTTGATAAATGTTTTAAATGATTGAGTTATAACTAGCAATGTATTAATCTGAATTTGGTATAATAACTAAGGGAAACAGAGAGGAAATTTTTGATGATGTAAACTGATATATGTATGGATAAGCCTGTTATTGGACTATGTATTACCCAACCACCATGTTGCTTCCTTAATATCCGAAGTTTTGTAAAAATGGAAAATTAATAAAACTTGTTTAAAAAAAAAAAAAGGAACTGTCTCCAGTGGATAAGCTCGCAGTGTACATACAAACAACAAAGGGATAAGTCATAGATCAGAGGTCCACAATCTTTTGGGCACCAGGGACTGATTCCGTGGAGAGAGGTTTTTCCGCAGACCGGAGAGTGTGTGGTTTTGTGTGCTGCCTGCATCCCACAGATGTGGCTTTGCTTGTTTGTGTGGACCGGTTGCTGACATGCTGGGGCCCGGTACTTGTCCACGGACAGGGGGGTTAGGGACCCCTGTCATAGATCATAAATCATAAGATACAATCATAATCATAAGATACAAACAATAACTGATGAATCATAAGATACTAATAGGAGAAGGTAGTAGGAAAGAGGAGAAGACAACAAGGATAATAGTAATTTGTTGTTGGTTGCGAAGTCGTGTCCGACCCATCGCGACCCCATGGACAACTTTCCTCCAGGCCTTCCTGTCCTCTACCATCTTCTGGAGTCCATTTAAGCTCATACCTCCTGCTTCAGGGACTCCATCCAGCCACCTCGTTCTCTGTCATCCCCTTCTTCTCTTGCCCTCCATCTTTCCCAGCATTAGGCTCTTCTCCAGGGAGTCCTTCCTTCTCATGAGGTGGCCAAAGTACTTGAGTTTCAGCTTCAGGATCTGGCCTTCTAAAGAGCAGTCAGGGTTGATCTCCTCCAGGACTGACCGGTTTGATCGCCTTGCAGTCCAAGGGACTCGCAGGAGTCTTCTCCAGCACCATAGTTCAAAGGCCTCCATTTTTTGGCGCTCAGTCTTTCTTATGGTCCAACTTTCACAGCCATACATTGCAACAGGGAAAACCATGGCCTTGACTATAAATCTATTATATGGGTAAATAACTTTAGCCCTAAGTTATGGGAGTTATGTGCTCAACAGAGTGATGGCATGGGGGGGTGGACGGGGGGGAAACTCTCCCTGTGTCTAGTTGTTTTGGCACGCAAGCAGAGTCCTAAGGAGAGAAGTTGAAACAGTTTGTGTCCACGTTGTGAGGGGTCTGTAGATATTTTCTCAGCCCTCTTTCTGGCTCATGCAGTATACAAGTCTTCAATGGAAGGCTGACTGGTTTCAGTTATTTTTTTTTGCAGTCCTAACTAACCCTTGAACTCTGTGTCAGTCTTTTTTGGATGCTAGTGCCAAAGCAGACAGTTACTGAGGTACAAAGGACGGACTGGATCATTCAGAGCAGTCCTAATTTTGTGATCCCAATTTTGCTTCATTGCAGATCAAGCAGGCTGCAGAAGAGATGCTCATTCTGGAGAGCAACCCGCTGGAATGGACCGTGACCGATGTGGTGCAGTTCCTTCGGCTGACCGACTGCGCTTCCCTTGCCAAAATATTTCAGGAACAGGTTCTTTCTTTCTTTCTTTCTTTCTTTCTTTCTTTCTTTCTTTCTTTCTTTTTTTCTTTCTTTCTTTCTTTCTGTCTTTCTTTCTTTCTCTTTCTTTCTTCCTTCTTTCCTCCCTCTCTTCCTTCCTTCTTTCCCTCCCTCTTTTCCTTCCTTCCATCCCTTTCCCCTTCTTTTCCTTCCTTCCTTCCCTCTTTCCCTCCCTCTTTCTTCCTTCCTTCTTCCTCTTCCTCCTCCACCCCCTCCCTCCCTCACTCTTTTCTTTCTTTCTTTCTTTCTCTTTCTTTCTTTCTTTCTCTTTCTTTCTTCCTTCTTTCCTTCCTTCCTTCTTCCTTCTTTCCCTCCCTCTTTTCCTTCCTTCCTTCCATCCCTTTCTCCCTCTTTTCCTTCCTTCCTTCCCTCCATCCCTCTCTTTGACTTCCTTCCTTCTTTCCCTCCCTCTCTCCTTTCTTCCTTCCTTCTTCCTCTTCCTCCTCCTCCACCCCCTCCCTCCCTCTTTTCTTTCTTTCTCTTTCTTTCTTCCTTCCTTCCTCCCTCCCTCCCACCCTCCCTTCCTTCCTTTCTTCCAGCCTTCCTTCCTTCCTTTATTCCTCCCTCCCCCTCCTCCCTTTCTTTCTACCTTCCTTCCTTCCTTCTTTTTCTTTCTTTCTTTCTTTCCTTCCAGCCTTCCTTCCTTTCTCCCTCCCTCCCTCCTTCCTCCTCCTTCCTTTCTTTCTACCTCCCTCCCTCCCTCCCTCCATATATGATTTTATCTGTCTGTTCCATATTTTTCCTTACTTCTCTGGACTAAAGCATTAGAAAGCCCCCAAAGCCGTATCCTTCCCCATCAAAGTTCCTTATTTCCTTTTTTTTTAAAAAAAGAAAACCAAGTGAGATTTTGGACCCTATGATTTTTGTATATGTATATATATATATTCCTGTTCCTCCTTTTTGCAGGATATTGATGGACAAGCCCTTCTTCTGCTGACGCTCCCAACGGTCCAGGAGTGCATGGAACTGAAGCTTGGGCCAGCCATCAAACTGTGCCACCAGATTGAACGTGTGAAGCTGGCGTTTTATGCACAATATGCCAACTGACAACACCCTTTGCTTTCTTTTTTTTTTTTAAGGCCTTGCTTGCAATTCCTGTTTCTCAGCTCCTGGTATTTGGAAATATGGAGCCTCCGTGTATATATAGAAATGTCCCCAAAATGAACTAAAGTAAGATCTTGAGCTGAAGTCAGAAATCTTTTAAGGTGCTGGGCACCCTTGCGTGATCAAGAGGTGGTACAACCAGCTTTTAATAAAATAAAAGTTTGAAATCCACCACCATTACCAGCAAAGCTTGCAAGATCAACTCTTGCTTCAACTCATCAGTGATCCTACACACAAAAAAAAAAAAAAACCAACACCGTCATATTCACTCAACGCATCCCGAAATAATTGACTTCTTCAACCAAGTCGTCATCAGACATCACTGAAATCCTGCCAGATTTGGCCATTTTGAAGTTTCTGCCTTTAACAAATTGAACAGTTTTAGGATATTTTAAAAAGTAATTTGGGGTGAAATTAAGGAACCAAATGCAGTTTATGCATCTAGGTTGTTTTTCCCCAATGATGGTGATTTATTCCAGACAGTAAAGATTACAGCGAGTTCTTGATTTTTAGTGTCCAATTTCTAAGAATCATTTATCCTTGTTAGGTCTTCACATCAGTTCAATACCCCATAAATTTTGGGCATTTTCTTTTTTTAATAACATTTTATTAGTTTTCTGAGTTTACAATTCATAAGTGCTTACTAAGCAATGTGTTGTCTGGGTCCACTTGTTTTACTTAACAATACATATTAAATTCCTAATTTCTACCCCGTTTTTCCAGCCATTGATAAAATACATCCCATACTTGAAAATATTCTGGGTCTTCCTTTTCTTTAATCTTCAGTGGAAGTCTATCCATTTCTGTTTCTAGGCTTTTGATAGGGATGTTAATTTTATGCAGAGAAGGAAGCAAGTTGCAAAAAAAAAAGAAGCACTGTCCTATTTGAACATCCTTCAGGGATATAATCTTCAATTTCCAGAATGCTCAGCAGTGGCTACCTTGACTGGAGACTTATGGGATTTAAAACTTCACGTGAAATAGTTGGAATGACGGAGTGGCCTATCAGAATCTTAATGCGAAAATGTATTATTATTTTTTTTCTCTCTGTCTAGAATTACACTTTTTCTCTGCTTGTGGATCTTTGTTTAAAATTCCCTTCAAAACCTAAGGCAACATGGTTGCTGAGAAATTGGTTGGGCTTCAATTTTCTGGCTTTTTTAAAAAAAAATTGTAAGCATGAAGGAATGGGCTAGTTTAGGACCGTTGTCTAAAAAAACAAAAGAAAAGAAAAGCAAGTTGTTAATTTTACCACTTAACAACAAAAGAAAAGAAAAGCAAGTTGTTAATTTTACCACTTAACATCAAAAACGTGCAGTTATGGATTTATTGTTTTTAATTCTTTGTACAGGATTTTTTATATATGTAAATAGAGAGACACAAATCTGCCCGTTATAATTTCATGTAAATAAGGGGGGAAGGTTTCTATTCAGAGTTTTAATATTTTAATTTTTATTCAGGCCGCATTTTTACTTGAAGATGAGTTTTTTTAATAAAGTCCTTCAAAAGCCCCTGTGTTCCTTGTCCTCTTCTTTCTCTGTCGTCTTCTTCCCTTCAATGAAAATATTTTTTTTTCTGTCCTTTAGCTAAAGCAGTGGTTCTCAACCTGTGAGTCGGGACCCCATTTGGGGTCGAACGACCATTTCACGGGGGTCGCCAAACAACGCAGTCCGCCATTTTTTCCCCCTTTTCCTTAGCTGTGCTACTCCCTTTTATTCTATTGGCTTTTGAAAGCCAATAGAATAGACTCTCTTGAATAGAGTCTAATTCTATTGGCTTTCAAAAGCCAATAGGAATTGTCCAGGCTGTCTCTGCCCTGCTGAGCCCGCCAAAAGTCCCATTCTGCAAACGGTGCTGCACCAGTTGAGTAGTCCTCGACTTACGACTGGTTGAGTAGTCCTCGACTTACGACTGGTTGGGGGTCGCGGCATTAAAAAGGTTGAGAACCACTGAGCTAAAGGTTGTTGTGGGGGAAAATGCATGCGCAGCAAACTGCTATGCTTTCCCTCCCCCCCACAAACCTCATAACCTTTTGATACCCTTTGTCCCAGTGAATCAGTCAGAAGGTCATACCCTTTTGACTTAATGCCTCAACTACCTAAACAGATAATATGCTTAAGTTTCTTCCTATCTCTTCCTGTCTTTGTCAGTTCTTTCTCCTTTTGATCTACCTGTATTTGTTCTTACCTGGTCTTTGACCATGTAATGTGTTACTAGAAAAAGGTTGCTTACATGAAGACATTTTCCAATGAAGAAACCTTTGTCAGCATAATGGTTAAGCTGGTGTATGTAACAAGTATATAAGAAGCAATAAACTCAAGAGTTTGTCAAGCTGTGTCCTGCAGCTTCAAACCTCTGTCAAGATATGCCTGTGTCTTTTTCTTAGCGTCTTACAGGTTGCAAGGATGGCTGGACTTTGAAATTCGCGAGCAGAAAAGCCATTCCGAAATTAGTGTTGCTCCTGCAAGTATCCTCAATTTACGTCCAGTTGCTTAGCAACCATTCAAGGTTACGACGGTCCCGAAAAAAAAGGGGACTTGGATCCAAAGTTCCGATAGTCGCCCTCAGCTCCCCTCAGGGTCACGTGACCTAATTTCAGGAGCTCAGCAACACAGCCGCAATTACAGCAGTGTCCCATTTTATGACAGTTTTTGCCCCAAAAGAAGGCACTTACTTTTGGTTTTTGGCATAAACACACTACAGTGAACAATGGGGGTCGTTTAACAACCGCCATATTTGCTTAATGACTGTCACAAAAAAAAAGTTGTTAAAAGATTTACAACCATTATGATTGACGGCCATAAGGGGCAGGCTCCGCTATAGTCGTAACTCGAGGATTGTGTTGTGGAAATGCCTGCCTGAGCAGGGGGTTGGACTAGATGACCTCCAAGGTCCCTTCCAACTTTATTATTATTATCATCACCATTATTATTATTATTATTATTATATAGGGATGCTCTGTTGTTTTCTTTCTTAACTGGGAGATTGTGCTTTTGTTTTGGGGGGAGTTGTTAGTCACGCTGAAAATAAAACTAGATTTAAAAGAAAAACGTGGCTAAATTTAAAACAAAAACGTGGCCGCCATTTCTATGCAAAGCCCCGTCCACAACTGTCTCCCTTAGCAACCTGAAATTTTGGGCACAATTCTGGTCGTAAACCGAGGACTATCTAAACCCGTGCTCTGCCAAGCCAGTCGTAAAGGCAGCGAAAGAACTTGCAAATGTAACAATGCTTACTATTTGGAACAGCAAACAATGTGCAAGATGATGGAATTAATATGCCTAAGCGTAGTCTAATCAGAGGGAGGGGGCAACACAAAGTGTATTTTAGCGAAATGGCTTTTCAGGACCATTAAACAAACCTCCGCTGTAATAAACTTGTTCTGCACCAAAGTAATATTCAATAAACAGGGCGGTTTATAAGCAATCAGGGACTCGGGATGGCAAAATGGTGCCGTTTCAGCAGAACAGGGATTGTGATGAATTGCACGTTAGGCTAACAACGGGCGCAGGGAAGTAAGTGGCCTTTAAAAGGGCTATTGTTTTCTGGGGCGGGGGGAGGAAAAATATTTAAACGTTTTGCTTCATTTAAATGTGATGAAATATGCTAAACATTTTTCCTCCTTGAAATAAATGCCTGGCTTTAAATAAAAATAAAACGAAGCGTTTTGCAATTCTCCTCTGCCTCCCACTTCGTGTCTTTTCCCAGCCCAAAAGAATGTGTAAGATGGTTTTCTGAAAAAAGATAGCAACATTTTTGGTTTGCAGGTAGTCCTCGACTTAGGACGGTTAGAATACTAAATGTAGTGGCTGGAACGGTGAAGTGTACAATGGGCCAGAATGCACCGCTGAAGTTGATTGGTGGAGACTGCTGGCTTCTGCGTGAGGCAATCTACGCTGTGATTGATGGCTGTGGGTGTAAAGGGGGAGTTTCCCTTTTCTATTTTCCCGTTTTTTATTTCTGCTCCGTGGATGCCAATGGTGGTAAAATCCAGAATTAATGTTCCTTATAAGCCATGTGGAAGAAACCTGAACAGCCTAACTGTTCTAATTGGGTAGAGGGTAGAGATAGGAGTCCTTCTTAATCCAATATGCCATTTCCTTTTATATTCTCCTCTCTCTTTCTTCTCTTTTCTTTCTCCTCCTTCCCTCTCTTTCCTCTAGTTCTCCTCTCTCCTTCCCTCCTTCCTTCCCTTCTTCCTCTTCCTCCTTCCCTTCCTCCCTCCCTTCTTCCTTCCTTCTACCTTTTTTCCTTCTTCCCTTTCCTTCCTCCCTCCCTCTTTTCTCTCTTCCTTCTTTTTCTTCCTTCCTTCCTTCCTTCCTCTTCTTCCTCCTCCTCCCCTCCCTCCCTCCTTTCTTTCTTTCTTTTCTTCCTTCCTTCTTCCTTCCTTCCTTCCTTTCTTTCTTTCTTTCTTTCTTTTATCTTTCTCTTCCCTCCTTCCCCTTCCTTCCTCTCTCTCTCTCTCTCTTTCTTTCTTTCTTTATTCCTTTCTTTCTTTTTTCCTTCCTTCCTTTTTCTTTCTTTCTTTCTTCTTTTCTCCCTCCCTCCCTCTCTCTCCTCCCTCCCTTATTTCTCTCCTTCCTTCCTTCCTTCATCTCCCTCCCTCCCTTTTTCCTTCCTTCCTTTTTCTTTCTTTCTCTTTCTTTCTTTCTTTCTTTCTTCTTTCTTTCCTTCCTTCCTTCCTTCATCTCCCCCCTCCCTCTTTTCTCCTTCCTTCCCTATTTCTCTCCTTCCTTCCTTCATCTCCCTCCCTCCCTTCTTCCTTCCTTCCTTTTTCTTTCTTTCTTTCTCTTTCTTTCTTTCTTTCTTTCTTTCTTTCTTCCTTCCTTCCTTCCTTCATCTCCCTCCCTCCCTTCTTCCTTCCTTCCTTTTTCTTTCTTTCTTTCTCTTTCTTTCTTTCTTTCTTTCTTCTTTCCTTCTTTCCTTCATCTCCCTCCCTCCCTCTTTTCTCCTCCCTCCCCTATTTCTCTCCTCCCTCCCTCCCTCCCTTCCTTCCTTCCTTCCTTCCTTCCTTCCTTCCTTCCTTCCTTCCTTCCTTCGTCTCCCTCCCTCCCTCCCTCCCTCTTGAGATAGACGATCAGTTAATGCCTCACAGATAATTACAGGACAAGCAACTTTCTTGTGAAAACCCTGCAAGCCAGACAATTTGCTTTTTTCCCTGCCTGCTCTTTTCCATTTAAAAGCCACCCCACTCTCTGTCACCTAGCTTAGCCATGTGAAATGAGAAACTGATTTAAGTGTTTGACTGATAGGGCAGGATTTATGGGCTCCTCCAATCTGAAGGGCACTCTGGACGGCCCACATCTGCAATCCTAGCTCTGAGCACAGATCCAAACAGCCCACCCTCAACGTAGTTAGGAGAGGTAAAACCAACATTCAGAGTGAAACACAAGACAAAGCAGGGGTTTTGTTATTTTGCTAACCTTGGTGGGCAAGAGCAGACTTTGTGGCAATTTGCGGGTCGAGCTTGAACACATCCACTAATGTGGAATAATGAACAATCTTTAGAATAATGATGTGTCTGCATAATTACTGGAATAGTGCTGTGTTAGTAGTATGTGACTAACCTAATGCACATTGCACTTGGATACAATGTATGTAGCAAACTCTCTCCATTGTATACCCGTGAGAAACGAACCTAATGTATTACAATGTGTATTCCTTTGTTGCTGAGAAAAGGAAAGTATAAAACTGAAGTCTGAACCTGCTCTCGGGGTTCAGAATTGTTTGTCTCTATTGCTTCTGAACCTGCGCAATAAATCTCTCTGCTAAAACCCTCTGGAATTCGTAAGAGTCCTTTCATTTTCCACAAGACTACGGCCTGTTGAGCTGTTTGGGTTGGGAGGGGGCTGCTTTGTACCTTCTGCCCCCACCTCCCACTTTCCTCTAAATCACTTGCATTCTTTGCTTTGTCCCGGCTGAACCTGTCGGGTGTGCGGTGGATTTAATGAGGCCTGAGCAGGGGATTGGACTAGATGACCTCCAAAGTCCCTTCCAACTTTGTTGTTGTTGTTGTTGTTGTATAAAAAGATTGAGAGTGTTGGCTAAAAAGAGATTTTTTTAAAAAGTGGGGAGCGGGTCAGAGCAATGCTCTGGGCTTGATTAGGCCTCTTTTCTCAGCTGCTAAATTAGAATAATAGCGGCTTCATTTTCCTGTCTCTGGATGACTGCCTGGGGAGGTCTGGAGAAAGAGACATGCTGAAGTTGTCAAAGTGTATTAGGGTAAACAGGCAAAGGGCTGTGGGGGGGGGGGACAGGTTTTTTTCAGGGCATAGTTGGAACAAGAAACCTAGTGAGGAGGGAGGGGAGGGGGGGAAGGAGGGAGGGAGGGAGGGAGGGAGGAAGGAAGGAAGGAAGGAAGGAAATAGGGAAGGGAGAGAGGGAGGAGGAAGGAAGGAAGGAAGGGGACAGAAAGAAAGAAAAGAAAAAGAAAGAAAAAAAGAAAGAGAGAAAGAAAGAAAGAAAGAAAGAAAGAAAGAGAAAAAGATAGAAAAAAAGCATTTTAGCATTT